TCTTATTTTGCCTCCTTCAGGTAAATATAGTTCTGTGGAAATACAGTACAGAAAATGTGGACTACCAGAGAGCAGAGTGGGTGTTTATGAGCCATATCAGCTCCAGGGGTAAACAGTTCACTGTGTAAATATGTACTTTGGTATATTAAGGCATATTATTTACTGTAGGAAGTCTTTCAGTATATATTAGTCATGTCTCTCACACGCTCGTGCCTAAATATCTATTTCAGCCGTGAGTATTTCAGCTCATAGCAGATTTCCAAGTGCCCCTACTTCAGACCTGAGACCCGTATTTCGTTTAATTTGGAAATTACACTGACTGCACATAAATGAATCCCATGGGCTTTTTTTCTGCTCTCGAGGAACGCAGTGTGCATCATCAAAACACTTTAAATGAACCCCAAGCCTCCCCCATCTATTTGTCCTTACTGGCTAGAAACCTAGACAGTCATTGCCAAAGGACTTCAGCTCAGAGCTGCACATAAACCCAAAAAAGGTTTCTGTAACGTTAAAGTGGCCAAGGGGTTTTCAGTGCTTTCTTGGACTGTAGAGGTTGGAAGAGAACGGAGAATATCTCAAGGAAAAAAAACAAAAAAACATTCTAACACAAAGTGGACAGGTACCATTGTGCATCTCAAACTTCCCCGCTTCCAAACTGCCGTTGCTCTGAAAAGCCTTCAGAATAACTGCAGGTTTTGGACGTGATTGATGAGCTTTTTTTAAATAAATAGATAAATAAATAACCCTTTCCCACCCCGAGACCTTTGGTTAAAGTTAAACGATCACAAAATGCATCATAAATAGAGTAGTTCGGTCATCTCCGAGCCAGAAAGATAACTTCTGCTCTGCTTATCACCACCTTCTAAAGCTCGCCCGGGAATCCCAGGCGCACAAACCCAGCACTGGCAGCACTACAGCACGACGCCCGCAGCTTACATCTCTGCATCTGCTTGCTGTACTCAGACATGTTATCGGGGCGGATAGACCTCAGGAACTTGATGTAGTCGTCGCTGTGGTACTTGGTCATTTCTTCTGCGTTTGCCTTGTGAGGGCGCTGCGAGGACAAAGAAGAGCAAAGGCTTGTTTGGAAACACGTCTCTGCCCTAAAGCCCGTTTCCAGTCTCAGATTTACTCCCAGGGAAAGAAAACCAACAACCAAACCAGCAGCAATAGACAAGAGGAACTTATTCTCAAAGGCAAGGATGCCATTAGCACAGAGTGGAACACATTACACATCTAGACAAAGAAATTATTGAAGTTACAGAGAGAAAACCAATTTTCCAGTCTCCAAAGCTTATCTGAGGCACAGAGCATCTCCGGGAAATGGGAAGGGAAGAAAGGAGAAATGCATCAGTACAACCATTGAAGTTTTTCTTTTCTTTCATTAAATTAAGAGCTGACGATTGAACTAACATCTCTCATACACATTTCTCCTCACTCACATAGATCTCCATCTTCCTGTAGAGGCCGTAGTTCAGCAGCAGGTTGTGGGTCATCCGGATCCTGTGGGGCTTCATCGGATGCCCTTGGCCATAATAATAGTTCCCAACATCACCTGGGGACAGAAAGGATTTTGTTACAGTGGGGAAAAAACACAAATTCCTCCCGACACAACCAGAGTGAAGCCACGGGGCCGTCACTCATCTGTGGGTTTTTACCCCAGGTCACCTCCCCACCCCGATATTCCCCTGCCCCATAAAGCTGAGCTCACGCTGCTCTCACAGCAGGCACCGTCGTGTCCCCCCTCCTCTCCCACGAGGTTTATTTTCACCATTTTTTTCACAAAATTTAACTGTTGCATTTTGCCATTTGGCTACGGGGCGCAGAGACCGAGGGCTGCCAGGATTAGGGGATGGCACGAGCGGCGGCAGCACCTGACGAGCCCTGGTTTATTGGGAAATCGCAGCGGGTTGTGCACGTAGTTTTACGGCTCGCAGTCACTTTCGGGAGCAGGAGACCCAGCCCAGCCCGGCTGTGACTCAGCTGGGAGCTATTTCGTCACCGGCCCCAGCACTCAGCAAACTGCCACTTCCTCGCAGCTCAGCGGGATGGGAACGGCGCAAAGCCCGACCCCAAAAACCATTCTGTGGGTCCTGCAGCGAGACCGGGCGCCCTCGGTCTGCAGCGAGGGGTTTCGCCCGGGTGACAAATCACCGCCAAATCCCAAACCCCCAAATTACAGCAAAATGGGGTGAAATCGAGCCTTGGGGAACTAGGTAGGGATGCTCAAAAGCCCCTCTAGAAGATGGGAGTCCCTGCTAATAAAGGGGTCACCCCCAGGGCAGATCTAACCCTACACACCCCCCCCGTGCACCTCGGGGACCCCAGGAAGGGACCCCCGTGGTCCCCAGCTGCTTTCTCCCAGCCTCCCCCCTGTGCCCAGCCCCTTCCCAGCAGCTCGGTGCTGATCCCCACCGCAGTTTCCTTCTCCCATCTGAGTTTTATGGCTCAGGGACCTCATTTTGGGGCGTTACTGTGCCAAACTGCCCAGGCCCTAAGCTCCCTGCAGGACACCCGAGCAATCCAGCCTCCCCTAAGTGCAGTTTACACCTTCCCCGACAAAGAAAAGCACACCTTCACCCCAGCCCCTCGTAAAAGAGCAGAAATAAAGCACTAAAACCTCCCCAGGGAGGGAACAGCGCTCGTTTCACGGGGTCACCGTGCAGTGGGATTCACGAGGGTACCCCCCCTGCTCAGGGCATCCCCGCCCCGTGCCTTTTAGGGTCTGGGGTCGTTGAGGACCTGAGCAGCTCCCCCGCGACCCCACAACGCTCTCGGGGCGCAGGAGGAAGTTTGGAGGTGGTTTTGGTGCTTCCTGAGAGCGCTCCTGCAGCGCTCACGGCCCCGGCACCCCGCTGGGTTTGCTGTCACTGGGGGGCACAGCCAGAGAACCCCCCCAGCCCTGGGGGCTGCCCCCCCCCGGCTCCTGGGAAGCGCTTGAAGCCCTTTTTTGCCCTTTTTTTTGCCTGCCTGGCCCACGGAACCCCTCGCTCTGCTGCTCGCCGGCGAAGCACGTCCGCTTAGGAAGGAAAAACAGCGGTGAAAAGTTTTTATTTGACCTCGCAGACCCAAAGCCTCCAGCGTTAAGGGGGGGGGGGGGACCCCGCAGCACCCCCACCGCCTCTGAAGGGCTGAAAACGGGCCCCGAGGTGGGCCATTTACCACGATTTTTACCCCGGGATGAAGGGCAGGACTGTGGGGAAAGCGCCCGAGGAAGCCAGCGGGGGCTGCAGGCAGCTCCCACCCCCCCGTTACGACCATGTCCCAACGAGGGGGGGTTACAGAGCCCTAAACCATCCCCCCCCCACTCCCAGCCTTGGAAAAGAGAGAAGAAAGAAATCCGCCAGCCTGCAGCCCGAGATGGGACTGAACAATGCCCCAGGATGCTGGGACCCCCCCCAAAAATGCACCGTGGGCTGGCCCGGCTCAGTGGGCCCCCGAGCCAAGCAGGAGTTCCCGGAGAGCCTCTGTGCCCCCCTAATGGAGGCTTGGCCCCCCCTAGGCCCCCCCCAAGCCCTTTTTAGGGGCTCCCCCAGCCCCTCCTGCCCCCTCCCCAGCTCTCCTTCTCCCTCCTGCTCCCCCTAGGGCTGCCCCCCCGCCTTCCCCTTGCCCCCAGCCCTTCTCAATCCCCCCCCCAACACCCCCTGGCCCCGCTGTGCCCCACACCCATCCTAACCCCCCCCCCCCCAGCGCCCCCATCACCATTCTTAACCCCCCTCAGTACCACCACCCCCCCCAGTGCCCCCTATACCCTTCCTAGCCCCCCCATTACCCCCCTACCCTTCCTAACCCACCCCCCTCAGTGCCCTGGGCCCCCCCAAGTGCCCCCATCACCCTTCCTAGCCCCCCCCAGCACCCCCATCACCATTCCTAGTCCCCCTCAGTGCCCTCCCCACTATTCCTAGCCCCCCCCAGTGCCCCCCCCTTAATTCCTAGCCTCCCCCAGTGCCCCCCCCACTATTCCTGGCTCCCTCCTTGTGCCCCCCCCTCACATTCCTAGCCCCCCCAAGTGCCCCCCCCAATATTCCTAGCCCCCCCCCTCAGTGTCTCCGGCCCCTACCCTGCCTCCCCAACCCCTCCTAGTACCCCCAGAGCCCCCCCATACCATTCCTAGCCCCCTTTAGTGCCCCCCCCAAATTCCTAGCCCCCCAATGCCACCCTCACCCTTCCTAGCCCCCCTTAGTGCCCCCCCCAAATTCCTAGCGCCCCCCCAACTTCTTAGCCCACCCTCTAATTCCTACCCCCTCCCTCAGTGCCCCCAACCCCTACCCTGCCCCCCCACCCTCCTACCCCCCCATCACCCCCAAAACCCCCCATTACCCCCAAAAACCCCCCTCACACCCCCCCACCCCCATTTTAACCCCCTTTTAGCCCCTTTACCCCCCTTTTAATCCCCTTTAACCCCCTTAACCCTTTTAAACCCCCCTCAACCCCCCCATTACCCCCCAACCCCCCCCCTTACACACCCCCACCCCCTTTTAACCCCCTTTACCCCCCTTTTACCCCCTTTTAACCCCCTTAAACCCCCCTTTACCCCCCATCACCCCCCCAATACCCCCCTCCCCCGCCCCCCCCGTCACCCCAGGCCCCCCCACGCCCCCCCGAGCCCCCCCGGAGCCCCCCCAGCCCCTCACCGTCGTAGTAGTAGCAGACTTTCCGCTTGGTGCCCTGCGTCAGCGCCATTTTCCTGCCGCCGCCACCGACCCCGCCGCCGCCGCCGCCGCCGCGCAACCCAACCCGCCCCGCCGCCGGGCCCCGTAGCCCCGCCCCCCCGCGCGGCCTCTGAGCCAATCAGATCGCGAGGGATCCGCCCCCTTCCCGCCCGCCGGCCAATGGGGAGGCGCGTCGGCGGAGGGGCGGGGCGAGTGGTAGCAGGCTAGGCGGAGCGGTGGGGGGGGGGGTGTATGGGATGTACCATTAGGGCGGGGGGAGGGGGGGGCTGGGGATGAACCATCGCTGGGGAGGGGGGGGGGAAGGGGCTGTGGGGGGGGCGGGGGGGGCGGAACCATTGTGGAGAGGGGAGGGGGGGAGTGGGGAGGGGAGGGGGGAGGAACCATTTGTGAAGGCGGGGGGGGGGCCCGGTGAGGGACCCCCGCTGTGGGGGGGGCACCGCCAGGGCCCCGGTCCCCGTGGGGCTGGTGGGGGGGTCCCCAAGGTCCTGTATGGCCCCGGGCAGGCGCTGCGGGACGGGGGGGGGCTGAGGCTGAAGCCCTGAGCCCCTGCTGCACGTCTGCACGGCCCCCTGGCTGCTGCCCCCCCCCGGGAACCGGGGGACCCCGGTCCTCAGGGGGTCCCTGGTCCCAAAGTGCCCCCGGTCCTGAAGCACTTTTGGGGTCTCCACACGGTCCCCAGGGCCCCAAAGCCACCCCAGGGGCTTCCATGTCCCAAAGCATCCCCAGTCCTGAAGCCCTTGGGGGGGTCCCGCACAGTCCCCAGGGACCCCACAGCTGCCCCAGGGGCTCCCTGGTCCCAAAACCTCCCTGGTCCTGAAGCACTTTGGGGTCCCCACACGGTCCCCAGGGACCCCACAGCCTGGTCTTGAAGCATCCCCAGTGCTGAAGCCCTTTGGGGTCTCTTCATGGTCCCCAGGACCCCACAACCACCCCAGGGCCTGAAGCCTTTCCAGTCCTGAAGCCCTTTGGGGTCCCCGCATGGTCCCCAGGGCCCCAAAGCCACCTCAGGGGCTCCCCTGTCCCAAAGCATCCCCCATCCTGAAGCCCTTTGGGGTCTCACACAGTCCCCAGGACCCTGAAGCTGCCCCAAGGGGCTCCCTGGTCCCGAAGCCCTTTGGGGGGGGTCCCACATGGTCCCCAGGACCCTGAAGCTCCCCGGTCCTGAAGCCCTTTAGGGGTCCCCGCACAGTCCTCAGGACCCCACAGCCACCACCGGTGCGGACGGCGGCGGTGGCACACAGCCGGGTGGGCACAGTGGCACGTGGCATGTCCTCAGAGCCTTTTGGGGGGCAATGTGTGCCTTCAGGAGCACCCCAAGTCTGTGCCGCTGCCCCCTCAGGTCCAAGCAGTGCCCACGGGGGGGATGCAGAAGGAGTCTGTGGGGACCCCCAGCATGAAGGGGGGGGCAAAGCGGTGCCTCCCCCCCACCCCGGGGGGCTGCGGGGGCCCTCAGGGCTGCTGCTGGTACTGGCCCTCGGTGGCGGTGAAGAAGTCCTCCAGCACGCTCTTCATGTAGTCGAAGGTGGGCCGCTCCTCGGGCCGCTCCTTCCAGCACTGCACCATCAGCTCGTACAGCTCCCGCGGGCAGTTGTCGGGCTGGGGCATGCGGTACCCCCGCTCCAGGTTCTGGATCACCTCGGGGTTGGTCATCCCTGCGAGGACAGAGCGGGGGGCACCGAATTCAAGTCACCCCCTTGCTGCTGGAAACCCCCTAAGGTGGCAAACCCCATAGGAAATGTTCCCTCTACCCCCTCCTAAACCCTAAAATCCCCCCGGAATTTTGGGCCCGGCTGGCCACGTGCGCTGGGAACGGGGCCAGGAGGAGCGAGTGTGCGTGCGGGAGTGCAGGAACACACTCACACGTGTGCGCCTGCGTGTGTGCATGCGTGTGTGTGGGGTGTGTGTGAGCCCGTCCACCACGCTGCTGCCGGGAAATCCTGACCTGGATACGGGATCCGGCCGTAGGTGACGATCTCGGTGAGCAGGATGCCGAAGGACCAGACGTCCGACTTGATGGTGAACGTCCCGTAATTAATTGCCTCCGGCGCCGTCCACTTGATGGGGAACTTAGCCCCTGAAAAAAAAATAAAAATAAAAATAAAAATAAAAATAAAAAATAAAAATAAAATGAAATAAAATGAAATAAATAAAATAAAATAAAATAAAATAAAATAAAATAAAATAAAATAAAATAAAATAAAATAAAATAAATAAAAATAAAATAAAATAAAAATAAAATAAAATAAAATAAAATAAAATAAAATAAAATAAAATAAAATAAAATAAAATAAAATAAAATAGGAGGGGGAAAAAATAAAGTGCTGCAGCCGAGCTTTGCCCCCCTCTCTGTTTAACCTGCTGATGGGGTGGGTTTGGTGGCTGCCACCCCCAGACCCCTACACTCGGCTGCCCACCCACACCAGCAGGGACCCCGCAGCGGGGCAGCACGCCTGTTCCTGCAGCAGCCAGCAGATAGGGCTGGCAGCCCACCAAAAATAGGGCCGGGTGGGCTGGTGGGCTCCGGGCAGCCCCCTGTGGCTCTGGGGGGAGCGAGATGAGGGAGGGGATGGGGTGTCAGGGGTCCCGGGGGAGGACGGGGTTTCTTCCTCCAGCAGCCCCAGAGGGGGATGCATGTAGGGCCATGACGGGCGCACCCTCGCGAGCCGTGTACTCGTTGTCCTCGATGAGGCGAGCCAGCCCAAAATCGGCGATTTTGCAGCACAGCGTGTCCGACACGAGGATGTTGGCAGCCCGCAGGTCGCGGTGGATGTAGTTCTTGGCCTCGATGAAGGCCATGCCTTCGGCGATCTGCAGGAGGGATTAATCACGTTAATTGGAGGAGTTGGGACAGCTCCACCAGACCCCCCCCTCGTGGCTCCGTGCCCCCTCACCTGCGCGGCCATGTCCAGCAGCTTGTTGATGCTGAGCTTCACTCCCTCCGAGGTCTTGAGGAAATCCACCAGGCTGCCTGCAACGAAGGCGCAGGTCTCAGCCTCCCCCCGGCTGCCATCATGGCTTTGCCAAGCCACCGACCCCTTCAGTGCAACGCCCGGTGTGGGGCTGGGGGGCTCACAGCCCCCAGGAGGGGGGCTCTCACCCTTCTCCATGTACTCGGTGATGATGTAGATGGGCTCCTTGGTCACCACGGCGTACAGCCGCACCAGCCGCGGGTGCTGCAGGTTCTTCATGAGGTTGGCCTCCGCCAGGAAGGCGCTGGGCGACATGCTGCCCTGCTTCAGGTTCTTGATGGCCACCTTGGTGTGGCCGTTGTAGAAGCCTGAGGAGAGAAGGGGCACAGCGGGACCGGCTGTCAATTTAGGGCATCCCGACCCAAAAGCGCACAAGGAAGGTGTTTGGGCTGCAAAGGCTGGATGAAGCCTGGTCCCAGGGGCACTGGGACAGCGAGGGGACAGTCACAGCCCCGTGTGTGCTCTGGCCACCTCCTGGGCAGGAGCCTGTAGCCACATTTGAAGCCGCCAGGCAGAGATTTTTACGTGTGGCTTTTAGCCACCGAGAGGAAAGGAAACTTGGTGCTGGGCTTTTAACCCTCTGAGCAGCTCCCAGCAGGGCAGCTGGTGGAGCTGGGCAGCACTGCCACAACCCAGCCCCTGACAGAGACCCAGAGGGGATTTTCGGGTGCTGCAGCACCCATGGGAGCGAGGGCAGGGACCCCGCTTGGTGCCCTCCCCACCACGGCACTGGGACAGCAGGAGGAGGTTTTGCTGCTCAGCCGTAGGCTGCTGGAAGCCACACGCAGCCGCCGAGCCCCGGGTGCCCCCAGCGTGGCTTCAGCAGCCTCCCCGAGCCCTGCTCCCCCCGCAGAGCCACGCACGGGGCTCCTGTGCTGGTGCCAAGCCCCCGGTGTACGCAGCCCCCATGCACAAACGCCTCCAGCCATGTCCTGGTGGGGAGCAGCACAGGGGTCGGGGGGGGCCACGGATGGGAGAAAGGGGAAGTTTGGGCTGCTCTGGTTTATCCCCGGGGTCCCTTTCACTGCTGGTTTTCTCCCTTCTTCCAGAGCCCTTTGAAAAGCCGATGTCCCACAGCTGGGGAGGTGCCGGCTGCGCCCTGCGGGGCCCCGGCTTCCCCCCGAGCCTGTGCTGATGCCGCCCGCAGCAGAGCCCTGGTGCAGGAGGAAGCGCCCCGCTTTCACCCTGACTCACCCATCCAGACTTCTCCAAACTGCCCCGCTCCCAGCTTCTCCACCAGTTTCAGCGACTCCCGCGGCACCTCCCACTCGTCCTGCCACCACGGCTTCTGCGGCTTCTGGGTCCGGCACGGCTTGCCCAGGCGGGTGCACAGCCCGTCCGAGCTGCCTGCGGCACAGGGGGGGAAGGCAGCACCAGCATCAGCGAGCACAGGGTGCCTGGGTGTCCTGTCCCATCCCCAAACCATCCCCAAACCACCCCCATCCATCCCCATCCATCCCATCCCACCCCACCAGCCGGCACATACATGTGTAATACTCCACCAGCTCGTGCAGGCTGCTGAAGGTGACTCGGGGGGAGATGTAGTACCCCCCGTTGTCCATGTTGCGGATCTTGTAGTGCTTCACCGTCTCGCCCTGGTTCTGGTCAAAGTCCCTCACCGACAGCGAGTAGGAGCCTGGGGAGGGGGGCACGGGGTGGGCACGGGCCCCCAGCACTCCTGGAGCACTCCCCGGTGCAGGAGGTGCCGGTGGCACCGGTACCTTTGGAGGTCTCGCTCTCGCGGATGAGGAAGGAGCCGTGCGTGTTGCCCGAGGCCAGGAGCTGTCTCTCGGCGTCCTTGCGGCTGAGGTTTTTGAAGAACCACCTGGGGACAGGGGGCAGGGTGAGGGCTGGGGGCTGCTGAAGCCCTTGCATCTCCCCCCCCTGTGCCCACACGGCCGCTCCCCGGCCCCTACTCACGGCTCAGGCTCCAGGCTGTTCACCATGGCCACGAAGTTGTAGGGGATCAAACCCTCCTGGCCCGTGGTGAGCGACTGCTGCCCTCCACCACTCCCCGCTCCTGCAAGGACACGGCCACCTGAGTGTCCCCCCCTGCTGCCGGGACCACCGGTAGCACCGGGGCACTGACTGGGGGGGGACACTGGGGACATGGGGACCCCCTTGGTGCTCGCTCACTCTTCCAGGACGCGCAGCTTCTCGCCCTTCTGCAGCCCCAGGTCCCCGTCGTGGGTGGGCTCGTAGTCGTACAGGGCCACCACCAGCTTGTCTGGGGGAACAGGGGCAGGGTGGAGGCGGCTGATGGGGGCACCCGCAGCCACCCCCCCACCCCTCCCCGGCCAGCCCTTACCCTGCAGGGGGGAGCACGGCGGAGACGTGGCCTCGTAGGACACCAGGGGATCGCGCACCTCGGAGCCATTGCGGATCAGCTGCTGGGCAGGGATAGGGGGGGCCCATTCAGTGCCACCCCCCATAAAGCCCCACGCCACCCGCGGGGGGGGGTTTTGGCTGCTCTCTCCCCCCCACACACTCACCTGGCGCTTGCTGTCGGGGTCGATGGGGTAGTTGCAGTGCTCGCAGATGTCGATGTTCTCGATCCAGTCGTCGTCGTAGTCCGAGCTGCAGCAGCAGCCCATGGTGGCTGCACGGGGCAGTGAGCGCAGCCGTCACCCCCCCAGCTCCCCCATCCCCATCTCTGCACCCCCCCGCCCCAGTCCCACTCCCATCCATCCCACCACCCACATCACCGGGCCCTTCCTGCACGCCCCGAGGGCATCCCCCAGCTCTGTCCCCAGCCCTGTTTCTCCTAGCTTTGTTTCCTTCTGGCTTTGGTGAGCAGGGAGGGTGATTTCTCTCGAGACGCCCCCACCTCGAGCACCAGCCCCGGTGCCCTGCGTGGGCCGAGGGGGCCTCCTTCGTGTCACTTTTGCCTTCCTGCAAAATCCGGCAGAGCCCGGCGCTGCGTCACGTGGAAATGGCAGCCCACGGCCCTGGAAAAAGCTCTTCTGCAGAATAACCCACACCCACACCACCGGGATCTGCCCCCTCCCAGGCCTGGCCCCAAACCCATTTCCCCAGCCTCTGACGGGGAGCTCGGGGGCTTCGGGGGGCCCCGTGTGGTTTCTGCAGGCGCCGAGCTCTCGGAGCCTCCTCCGGGAGCCACCCAGGGGTCCCTGCCCAGGAACCAGCGGCTGCTTTTGCTGGGGGGGAGCTGTGGCTTCTGGGCACGGTGGTGCAGCAGGGGGGGTCCCCGGGGATGGCAGAGCCTGGCTGGGGACGATGCCCACCAGCTGCTGCCGTCACTTTTTCCTCCTCGGTTTCCCGACCAGGACTCACGGCACAGCTTTATTTTGGCAGGCACAGCTCTGTTTTCACAGGCACCCCCTTTAAACCTGGGGTGCTGCTGGGGAGGGCAACATTACAGCTGTGCACGGTGCTTCCGAGGGGCACGCACCCACCGTGCCACTGGGGACACAAGGAATGGCCCCGCAGAGGTCCCTGGGGGGCTCGGTGTCCCCTGGGTGCCACCGGAGCCAGGTGCCACCAGGAGAGGCACAGCCCCGTGTTTGGAGACCGGGGGCACCCTGCGCTCACCTCCCCACGGAGGGGGCAGCAGGACAGGGGCAGTGCCACCCCCTTACCGTGCCTGGGGGGACACAGGGGACATCAGCACTGTCCCCACGGGGCCACCTCGGGGTGCCCACCACCACGGTGGCTGACGGGAGTGATTGTGGCAAGGAGAAGGTGGACGAGCGAGCCCACCCGCACCATGTCCAGGGCCTGGAAGCCGCCCTGGTGCCTTCGGCTTCCACTGCCGCCTCTTTGAGAGCTCTCCCACAGCACCTCGGCCGCCTCTGGGGCCTGCAGGACACGGGCAAGACCCCGGCAATGTCCCTGGGACAAAGCCAGGACCCGGACCCAAACCTGAGCCTGGCCCCGTGGAAGAAAAGCCCCCACGCTCCCAACCTGCACGTAGCACTTCAAACGCCCGTCTACTGAAGGCGAGCGGTGCCAGGAGGTGTTTTTTCCTTTCTGCGAGAAGCCGGGGTTCAGAGGGAGGTGCTGCTAGCGTCGTTTTTTTGTGCTTTTTTTTTTTTTTTTTTTTTTTTTTTTCTTATGTGCTCAAGCCACAGCGTAATTTCCACCGAGCAACCGTTTCACCTGCTCGGCGCGAGGGCTGTGCCGCGTCTCGGGGCGTTTGAAGTCAGGTTTTTGCGCCTGCATCTGTGCAAACGAATTTCTGCTGCGAAGGTTGCGTGAGAGCGAGGTGGCCGTGCCCCTAACCCCGTGCCCCGCCGTGTCCCCCCCTGCTGCGTGGCTGTGTGTACACGAGCAGCCCCGGCCTCCTCCTACTCGTACCTGGCCCTTCCGCATGTGCCTGTCCTGCTGGGGCTGGACACTTTGGTCACGAGCGTGGGCGGGCGCCAGCAGGGTTGAGGCTGGGCTGGTCCCCAAGCTGGATGTCCCCAAATCTGCTGTGACCCAGCTGGACACCAGCCCCAGCACCTTGCCGAACCCGGGGAGCCGGCCCCGACGCGCCATCACGGTGGGCAGGGAGGCGTTTGCTCCAAAACAGCACCAAAAAAGCACCAAAAACAGACACATCTTGGACTGAAACCATCCTCAACGGGGCCGTGGTGGGCCAGGACTAACCCGCTGCTCTTCCCACAGCTCTGCGGACAGGGCCTGGCGTTGGGGACACGGCGCCCGTTTTGCCCCAAAGATGGGGGCTTAGGGTCAGGACTGTGAGGGGGCAGCGCTCGCACCCCGGGTGGGCACTGGGCAGCGGGGCGGCCGCTGTCACCCCCCCTGGGTGGCCGCAGCGGGACGGGGAGCACTGGGGCTGCTCCCCGCGTCACCTCCCAACCCCCTGGGGAACCAGTGCTCCCAGTGCCACCGTGGTGATCCCCCATTAACACCCCTCCACGGAGCCACATCGGAGAGCACAACACCCCCTGCCCCAGGCACCCCGCGGATCCCGGCACCCGTCGAGGGGCGCAGACCCCAGCCCCGGCCCCCGTTACCTGGTGGCAGCGAGGTGAGGACGAGCAGCTCTCAGACTCCCATGGCCGGGCAGCAGCAGTGAGGACCCCGACCCCGTTCACGTCCTCCCCATCAGCAGCGGGCACGCGGTGACCGGCCGGGTGCGCAGCCACGACCCCGCAGGCGGGTGCGCGCTCCCTGCCGCCGCCGCTGCTCGCTCTTGCTCGCCGCCTGCCCTGGTTTCCTGCCTCATGAGCAAACTCTAGAGAAGCTGGTTCACAGCTCGCGCACGACCGCAAAGAGCTAGTGACAAACCCTAAAGCTTCCTGCCAGCCCCAGCTGGGCTGCGCGAGGGGGGTCCCTGATCCGGGCACCCCCCAGCCCCAGGTGGGCGAGGGGACACGGAGGGACACAGAGGGACACAGAGATGTTTGCTCAGGGGGAGCAGGGTCCCGTGAGCTGGGCATTGTCAGCGTGGCGCCAGCAATGGCTGGGATTTTGTCACCCACTGCCCAGGATGTTTTGACCCCCCTGTCCCCTCTGCAGCCCCCTCCCCAGTGCTCAATGTCTGCAGGCTCAGCGCTGGCTTTGCCTGTGCCGGACCCTGTGTGGGCTGTGTGACACCACTCGCACCCACAGCCCCCAATTTGGCTGCCCCCACTGCATCACCCGAGGCCTCAGCACCCCGAGAGCCACGGTGCTGGCCGGGCTGGGGACAAAGCCGAGGGGACGCCTCGTGCCCAGGCTGTGCCACGCCACCAGCCCCCGGGTTTTTGGAAACAGCTCAGAGCAGAGCAACCACAAAGCTATTGTCTTGGCTTCTGCGATCAGACATGAAGCCGCAGGTACCTGCTGGCTGCTCTGCGGAGGCATGGGCAGGAAGCCCAGCCTGTGCCGGGGGGGAGCTGCGTCAGCGGGGGGAGCGCGGTGGCAAACACAGCACCCACCCTCGGGGACATTTCCCCGGGCAGCCGAGCGGCCCCGCTCCCGTTGTGCTCCCCAGCACCAGGGGTACCCCAGGCAAGGTGTGCCGCAGCCTCGGGGGGGCATGTGCAGCTCTCCCCATGTCCCGCTGTTACCCTGGGAAGGGGAAGCAGCACCCAAAAAAGGTCCCTGAGGCACCCCCTGAGGTCCCTGCGCCATCCCGCATCTCCCCTGACACCGCTTGTGAAAAGCATTCTGTGAAAGTCGCACCCCAGCCGCGGCAACTTCTTCTGCAAAGTGTTTGGTATGGATGGAACAAGCGAAAACAAAGCCCCCCCAGCCCGGCCAGCACCACCCAGGGCCCCTCTCCTGCACTGGGGGGCCGGGGTCGGGGCAGGATGGGGTTGTGGGGGCCCCGAGTGCAGCCCCCAGCACCTCCTGGCCTCGAGACCCAGCTCGCAGCCCACAGGCAGCTCGGTGACGAGCATTTCCTGCGGGTGGCACAGCCCCAGCACCCATCGCAGCTGGTGCCTGGGGAGGGGCTGGCAGTGGGGTGCCCAAAGCACAGCCCCATCCCTCCGGCACGGGGTGAGCAAGGTGGTGAGAAGCCCCCAGCCCACGGGACAGCGCCGGGAGCGCACCCCCTCCGGCCACCCCACCCCAAAGGGCTGGGAGCCACATTTTGGGGGCGCAGGCAGGCTCCTGGGTGCACAGAACAGAACCCCCTGGCTCTTACCATCGCCTCCTTTTATTCCTCCTCAAGTTTTTCGTGCACCTTGCTGACCCCACCATCCCCGGGGACAGGGCTGTGGGTGCCCCAGGACGCCCTGTGTCCCACGGGGACGGTGGCATTTCCCAGAGCACCGAGCACCCCCTGCACCAGGGAGCTCAGCCCCAGCCCCGCCGTCCCCACGGTGCTTCAGGAGGCACCCGCGAGCCCCACCGAGCCTGGGTGCACCCCTGGGTGCCCGCGGAGCCCCGCCAGGCTCAGCAGAGGGAGAAGCGCCGGGAGTTGATGTTCATGCGGGTGACGCCGATGTGCTTCAGCGGCATGGAGAGCAGGAAGGCGGCCTTGGGGGGGATGTTGCAGAGCAGATCCGAGTCTTCCTCGCAGCCCTCGAGGCCGAAGGTGGCGTCGTCCAGCATCTCCTTGTGCTGGTGGCAGGCCTGCTCCACCTTCAGCCGGTGCAGCTGCGCCCGCAGGCGCATCAGCTGCTGCGCCAGGCGCTGGTCTGCAGCCTGCAGCTCCTGCTGCGGGGACACCACGGGGCCGTCAGCACCGCAGCCCCCCCCCTGGGACACAGCCACGGTGCACGGCCAGAGGGGGGGCTCAGCAGGGTGCTGGGGCTTGGCCAGGGGCACAGCCCCCCTGGGCACTGGGAATGTGCGGTCCTGGGGTCAGCACGGAGCCAAAATCCCAGGCTGGCAGGGGGGTGTGCACACCTACACAGCTCTGGGGGGGGGCTCAGGAAGGTTTGTGCCCACACGGCTGCTGCACCAGCAAAGTCCACGCAGCCGTGCCCCAGCAGGGCAGCAGGAGGGGGGTGCCAAGCACAGGGCGACCACCATTGGCACTGGGCAGAGCCCCAAGCACCTGGCAAAAATCCCCGTCCAGCGGCCGTGCTGGTAAAAAAAAGGGCAAAGCTGGGGGGCTGCAAGCTGGAGCCCCCCCTGCCAGGGCTGGGCACCACCCCGTGCACCCCTCGCCCCCCAGCCCCTACTCACCAGCTCCGTCCTGAGCCACTCCAAAGCCTCCCCCACGGTGGGGAAGCCGCAGACGCCGCCGCCGTCCCGCTCGCCCTTGGGGTTCCCCGGGATCCCCTCGGCCCCGCCGGGGGTCCGGCTGCCCCAGGGCTGCCCCCGCACCCTGGCCTCCCACTCGAGGTAGGATGGGCGCCGCGTCTGCAGCTTCAGCTTGGCCGTCAGCGCCTTGAGGCCCTCCAGGCTCTCCTCGCCCATGGGTGGCTCCTCGGCACCCAGCTCGCTGAATCTCAGCTGCCCCAGGGCCATGGTTTGGGGAGGAGGGGGGGGCACCGACCCCAACCCCAAAAATCTCCCAGCTGCAGCCCTTTATCCACCCCCGGAGCTGGAGCTCCCGGCCCCGCCGGGATGATGCTAACGGCAGGAACTTTGCGCTTGGGGTTTTTTTGGTTTTTTATTTTTTCCTTTACGGGTCCAGCATCAGCGCCTCCGGCTGGGAGGAGGCGCCCCGAGGGCTCAGCCCGGTTATCGGCACCGGCTGACCCCGGCTTCCCGGCCCCGGGGGGGGGGGGAGGGAAGGGGGGGGGAGGTTGCTAAAAAAAGGGGAAAGGAAGGAAAACGAGCGGCAACTCGTGAACACGAGGGGGGGGGGGGGACACGGGGGAGGGACGCGGGGCTGCCCGGCTCCTGGGCACCTCTGGGCGCATCTGGGCATCGCTGGGGGGCCTTAAAGGTGGGACCCTCGGGGGGGCACAGCGGTGCCGGCCCCCCCCGGGGCAGCATTCAGCCGTTCCCTGCCCCCTTTTTCTCCCCCCCCCCGGCCCCGCAGACCTCCCCCCTCTCCTCTTGGGACCACCCTAAACCCGTCCCCCCCCCCCCCGCCCAGCCCTGCGCGCCCCCGGGGCTGTGCAGGCACCCCCAACCCCCCTGTTTCCCCCCCCCCCATAACCCCCCCTAGGTCCCTGCTGGCACCCCGATGTGCCCCCCCCGCAGCCCGGCTGCTGCCCCGTTCCCCCCCCCTGCTCGCCCTCTGCTCGCCCCCCACCACCGAGGGACCACGGATCGGAGCAGGTAAGCCCGGGGGGGGGCCCGCTACGAGCCGCTCACCGCCCCCTCCTCCTCCTCTTCCTCCCCCCTTCTTCCTCCTCCTCCTCCTCCTCCTCCTCCCCGCCCGGCAGCGCCCTGCAGCCTCCCCCGCCCCGTGCCGCGGAGAGCTGGGGGGGGACACCCAGCACCAGCAGCCCCAAGTCCTCCCCCCCCAGCACCCAGTGCCGGGTACCCGCGGGCTGCTCCCCCCCCCTAGATCCCGTGCCTCAGTTTCCCCACCTGCGCTGCGGGGAGGAAGCTGCAGAGGTGACAAGCAGAGGCCGAAGGGCCCCAGCGTGGCTTGGGGAGGGAAGAAAAAGGACGGGGGGGGGGGGGACAGGGTTGTGTGGGGGGGATTTCCAGGCCTTGCTGCGCCCGCTCACGATTTCCCCTTTCTCCCTCCAGCCCCACCGCCGCCGCCGCCGCCGCCATGGAGTTCTCGGAGCTGATCAAGACGGCGACGGTGGAGAGCGTGGTGCTGGGGGGCAGGGGGCTGCCGGCGGTGAGGGGCACGCTGTGCATCACCAGCCACCACCTGCTCCTCTCCTCCTGCCCCGGGGGGGACGCCCAGCCCAGCACCGTGGAGCTCTGGCTGCTCATCCGCAACGTGGACGCGGTGGAGAAGAGGTGGGTTTGGGTGCCTCCCCCCCCCCCAGCTGCCGGCCCCGAGACCCCCCTTCCTTGGTGGCGTCACCCCACGGCGGCAAGGGGGGGGGAAATTCCCCTCCCCGCTGCCCTCCCGGCCGCCCCGCCGAGCCTCGTCCCTCCTCTTCCCCACGGCCCACGCTGGGGATGCTTTCGGCGCTGGGTGTTGACCTCCTCTTCTCCTCCGTGCCTCAGAGTGCAGAATTTAGGCTGGTACCAGCCCCCCCGGACTAACGGCTCCCCTGCGAGACTCCAGGTTTGGCTTTTAGCGCTCTCGGCTCTGCTAAACCCGCCCAGCAGCGCCCGGCTTGCTGCTAACCCCGCTGCGCAGGGCTGGGGCAGCTGCTCCGAGGAGGGGAGATGATGGAAACCGCAGCTCCAGGCACACGTGAGGCCGGTGCCGGATGAGAGCCAACGAGATCCCGGTCGCCTCGGCACGGCGCTTTGCCTTGCTCCATCCTCCCAGGGGAGCGGGGGGCAGCTCCCCGCTGCTGGCTGTCCGCGTGCGCAGCCCCCTCCTGCCCTCGCAGCCCCTCTGCTGGCCCTGACCCCGCTGCCTTCCCCAGGCTCGCCGGCTCCTCCGGCACCATCACGCTGCGGTGCAAAGACCTGAAGGTGCTGCAGCTGGAGATCCCGGGCATGGAGGAGTGTCTGAACATCGCCAGCTCCATCGAGGTGAGCCCCGGGTGGAGGGCGAGCCGTGCCGGAGCCGCTCCGGGCTGTAAAGGGTTGGCAGGAGAAGGTGGCTGCCTGCAGTGTTTGCTCTGGGTCCGTCATTACCGTGGGTAAACAGCCAGCTCCTGGGCTCTGTTTGCACGGGCACTCGGCGGATGCCAGCCCTCGCTTGCAGCTGGGACGTGGCCATGAGGAAGGAACGGGGATGGGGGCTGCAGGGGGGGGGGGGCGGTGGGGACGTTCCCAGATGTCCCCGCGCGCCCCAGCTCCACCTTCGCTCTGCTCCAGGCCCTCTCCTCGGTGGACTCCGTGATGATGATGTACCCGTTCTTCTACAGACCCCAGGACCTGCGGCTCGAGGAGGGCTGGCACCTCTTCCCCCTCGAGCAATACTTCCAAAAAATCGCCGCACAGGTGAGCCTGGGGAGGGGAGAGCCCCAGCTGGCAGGGGAGGGGGAGAAGCGACTCCCTTGACCCACACCCCACTGCCCCCATCCCGCTTCTCCCCCAGACAAACCAGTGGCGGCTGAGCGACCTGAACAGGGATTTCACCACCTGCCCCACGTACCCTGCGGGCGTCATCGTGCCGGCGGCCGTGAGCGATGACACCTTGCGGAGAGCGGCCCGATTCCGGCAGGGCGGGCGCTTCCCCGTCCTCAGCTATTACCACCCCAGCAACGGGACTGTGAGTCCGTCTCCTCAACCCTCTCCCACCCCCATCCCACCCTGCCGGGCCCCCAGCCCCAGCTACCCGCAGCCCCTGGCCCCACAGGTGATGCTCCGCAGCAGCCAGCCACTGACGGGCCCCAACCGAAAGCGCTGCCCCGAGGACGAGGTGCTGCTGGGGACGGTCCTGGATGAAGGCGAGCGGGGCTTCATCATCGACACGCGGTCGGCCCAGGCGGCAAAGCAGGCGCGGATGACGGGGGGTGGCACGGAGCCCAAATCCTCCTACCCGCAGTGGAAGCGGCTGCACCGGCCCCTGGAGCGGTGAGGAGCTGCGCCGAAGCCTGGCTCCCATAATTAGGGTGATCGTGCCATCCTGCAGCCAGCACGGCCCCCCCAGCCCCCCAAAACCAGCCCCGCCAAGCCCCTCACCCCATTTTCCCTCCCGCCCAGAGGCCGCCCGCTGCAGGAGAGCTTCATTAAGCTGGTGGAAGCCTGCAACGACGCCTCGCTCAGCATGGACCGCTGGCTGAGCCGGCTGGAGAGCTGCCGCTGGCTGAGCCACGTCAAGGCCGCCCTGAGCACAGCCTGCCTGGCCGCACAGTGCCTCGACAGGTAGGGGGGCTGCTGCCACCCCCAAAGCCCCTCGCTGTGACCAAAGCACCGTGGCACCAGCCACGGGCAGGGCTGGCAGCGCCCTGATTGCCTGTGCGCCCCCCCCGCAGGGAGGAGGCCAGCGTGCTGGTGCACGGCGCGGAGGGGACGGACACGACGCTGCTGGTGACGGCGCTGGCACAGGTGATCCTGGACCCGGGCTGCCGCACCATGGTGGGCTTCCAGGGGCTGCTGGAGCGGGAGTGGATCGAGGTGAGAGCGGCAGAAGCGAGGGGTGGGGATCCCCAGCCTGGCTGGGCACCCCTGGTCACCTTCACCCCTGTTATTTACCCCGCTTTTTTGGGGTCCCGCAGGCCGGCCACCCCTTCCACCTCCGCTGCGCTCGCTCTGCCTACTCCCACGCGCGGCTGAAGCAGGAGGCGCCGCTCTTCCTCCTCTTCCTCGACTGCGTGTGGCAGCTGAGCCGCCAGTTCCCCTTCTCCCTGGAGTTTGGTGAGAGCCTCCTCCTCGCCCTCTTCGACAACGCCTACGCCTCCGACTACGGCACCTTCCTCTGCAACAACGAGAAGGAGAGGCGAGTGCTGGGAGGTGGGGATGGCAGCGCCCCGGAGGAGCAGTGCCACGGCCACCTCCCTGCCCCTGGGCAGAGCCAAACCCTCTCGGTAACACCTGGGGTCAGCCCCAGCCCCGTGCCCCGGGGACTGAGACGCCTCTCGACGCTCCCGTAGGTGCCTGTGTAAAGTGAAGGAGAACACGCACTCCCTCTGGGCCTGGCTGAACCAGCCTGAGGAGAAGAAGAAGTACCTGAACCCCCTCTACTCGCACAACCCGCTGGTCATCTGGCCCTCCGTGGAGCCCCAGAGCATCCAGCTGTGGCAGGGTGAGCCGGGGCCAGCCCTGGGGCCTTTTCCCAAACCTGAAGCCGTGCTCGTGGACACCACCTCGGGCTGGGTCGCGTGTGGTGGCTTAGGACAAGCTGCTCGGCTCTTCCCTCCTGCTGTGACACAACCCCTCACCTCCTAGGTTTATTCTTCCGCTGGATCCGTCCCTCCCAGTACCTGGACGAGGCCCGGGCAGAGATGCAGAGGTTGGTGGAGGCCAACGAGGCGCCTGCCAAGGAGAGCACAGGGAGCAGGCTGAGCCGGTCGCTCTCCGACCCCGCCACCCGGACGGAGAACGAAAGATGAGCAGCAGCATGGGCACCTCGGTCCTGGCAATCACATCCCCCTCACTGTGAGTTGAGGGGTCAAGGCGATGCAGTTTTCCACGGGATGTGTGCAGGACACTCACCCCGTGGAGCCCAGGGAAGGCTGCGCGCAGCAGCAGCGTGGACAGCCCAGGGAGAGGGGGGACGGACGTGCTTCAGCAGCCTCTCAGCCACGCAGACTGGACGTGGCACAGTAAAGTGGTGTCTCGCAGTCTGCTCCTGCGTTGTGTGGTGTTCCTCGGGCAGGAGCTGGGCAGCGCAGGGCTCTGCAGCAGCAGGAGCAGCCCCGCTCCCTCAGGCAGGTTCCTGCTCTGTTCCCCAGCGGGATCGCGGCAGCTCTCGGACCTGGACCACCCCACGAGGCCCTGCTCCGTGACCTGAGGCAGGGTTGGCACAGCTTCTAAGCAGCAAAACATCCTAAACTCACACCGACCTCTCCACAAAAGGCACGCTGGCTGCAGCAGTAAGTGTTGCATCAGTCACTCCAAGTGGGGAGCCAGCCTGGGAAATGGGTCCTTGAACCCAGTTTCGAGGAAGGAAAGAGATAGGAGCCACCCTTCCAAGCAGACAGACACGGGGACAGAGGGCTAGGACGAGGATTTGCAACACAACCTTCCCAGTGCAGGAAATAACTGTTCCATGAGGAAAGTTGGCTCAGGGTCAAGCCAGCAAATAAACAAAGCCCTAGAACTGGGCGCGCATCGTCTGGAAAACAATGACTGGCTACCACGCTCCCAGATCCAGCACTGCTGGGGCTGGACCTCAGCAGCTGCAGATCGCTGCTGGGAAGGAGTTAACCCGGGCCTGGGCGAGGACAGAGGCTCGGGGAGCAGCAGCACTGCTGCCTGCCAGGGGGTGGAGAGAGAGGCACTGCCAGCAGAGCTCAGAGAGCAAAGAGCCAGGTTAATTTTGTCCCTGAGAGCACAAGAATAGAGGCAACTTTTTTTTTTCTGGCGTTTAGAAAAGATTTATTTATTTCCTGCCCATTTTTTTTCCTCCACTGATATATAAATATGCCCAGCAGGCCAGGAAGTTAGCATCCACAGGGGCAGGCAGGCAGCCAACCCAGCTCCTTTCCTCACCTTCGCTCTACCTCCTGAGAAAGCCCCAGGTTGTGCTGCTTTGAGCTGGCTGGGGTTCTAGATGCCCACCTCCATACAGCCCCTGAGTTTGCTGCTGCTTCCTGCTGCCTCCTGTGGAGCAAACCAACTTCAGGCCTTACAAGAGTTCTGCTCAGGAGCCAATGGGCTGGGCAACGGATGGGAAGAGGGAAGAAGAGGAGAGGACGCCCTCCTTTAAGCTTCAAACTCGAACTCGAAGTACTGGGGATCGAAGTAGTGGATGCGAACGTAGCCGTCCTCACCACCACTGCTGTAACTGTATGGGAAAAAAAGATGAGAAAGTTATCAGTCCTGTCAGGAGCCCACTGCGTCCAGCTTTATACCAGCAAGAGATGGAATCTGTTCTTACAACACCCTCCAAAAGCTAAGAAATAGTCACAAGATGAAAAAAAATATCAGTAACACAGCAAAATGTGCAGCAGGGTGTAAATCACCCCCAGAGCCAGCAGGGTTGGAATGAGAGAACTGGCGAAGGTGCAGGCTGCATTCCCACTGCAGAGCTCCTGTGAGCCCAGCCACATCCTAACCAAAGCACAGGCTAGATTTGATTTGAGCATGCTGGAAGATCTGCAAAATTCCTTACCTCTTTCCATCGGGGTGAAAAGCAACACTGTTTATCGGACCAAAATGCCCCTTCACTCTGCCAAACTCTTCTTCAAAAGCCAAGTGGAAGAACCTGGGAGAAGGAAGAAGTCAGGAGCCTGGTTCGGGACACAATCAGGGTTTCCTCAAAAAACCTCCACAATTGTAAAGCACCAACCTCGCCTCAAATTTGCCAATCCTGGTGGAGGTCGTGGTCACATCCATGGCTCTTGCCCACCACCGAGCACAACCTGCAAAGAGCAGAGGCCACGACACTGCAGGACTGCTTGCACCACACGCGCAGCAGCAGGCAGGGAAGGAGGGAGCCCAGCCCTGGGGAAGCCTCCCACCACGCCAGCAGAGCCCAGGAGCTCACTGACAGGCCCCGAGAAGTTCCTGCCTCTCTGCCACACTTGGAGATGAGAGGACCTGGGACAAGGCAGGAGTTGCAGTAAGACCATCACGAGTGGGGTTCTTACATGATCAAAAATGGGGGAGAGTGCAGCAGAGTTCACCGGTCGCTCGGTCCGGAAGGTCTTCAAATGTTCCAGTGTCGTGCAGTCAAAGAGCTAAGAGGCAAAAGGAAGAGGGAAAGAGAAAGAGAGAGTTAGTTATGTTCCAAAGGCCGTGCAGCCCAATTAACTCATGCAAACCCCAGCCCCTGGCTGCCAGTCCTCGCACAAGCAGGTATTAGCACTGAAGCTGCTCACAGGCACCCAAAACCCAAAGGCATTTCTCCAGAATCCCCAAATACCTGCCCGAGGTAACCGTCACCTTCTGCAGGTAGCACACTGCAGCCTTCATTTTGTTGCTGCTAGTTTAACGTGGCGATGCCTCCCCGTTCCCACTGAAGTCTCCCACCCAATTTGACTTCACACTCGCTCAGATTTCCCAGGAGCAGACCCCTGAGGCAGTCTCTACGAGCAGGTGCAGCAGTTGGCTGTGTTCACAACAAGAGGCCTCACCTTGGCTGTGTTGTCCTTGGAGGCGGTGATGAACATGGTCATGTCCCTGGAGGTCTGGATGTCGTTGATCTGCTTGGTGTGCTCCTTGATGTTTGAAAGCTGCTCCCCTGACTGGAGGGTCAAAAAAGGCACGTTCAGTGAGCAAACAAAGCGAGCACCCTTCCCCCATGAAAAAAATTTAGGAGGCATCGCTGTCAGCACTAGGGCAGGCATTTCTACGTCAGCCTGGCTCAAGGGAACCACATATTTTCACTATCCTTCCACGAGGCTGCTGGTTCGAGCCAAGAAGCCCACGTTCTGCCCCGTGACCACTCAGGAATGCTGCAGCGTCCTCCCCACGCCCTGCTGGCGGAGGAGATGCTGCCCCTCGTGGCACCGACCTTGGCGCTGAACTGGTTGAGCTCCCCGCTTTCGTGGCCTGCGATGATGAACTCCCCCAGGGGGCCCCACACTGCACTGGTGATTTTAGAGTCACTGCAGGGGATTTTCATGTAAGGCTCGTTGTTCTCTGCAGGAAGGAAGGAAGGAGACAGACAGACAGACAGCATGGCACCAGCTCTGGCCGTCAGTGCTTCCCCTTGCTCCCTGCTGCAGGCTTGGATTCCTCACCGATCTGGCTGGGGTCCCGCAGGTCAAAGAAGCTCACGAAACACTGGTAGCCCATCTGCTTGTCCGTGGAAAACATGATGATGTTCCCTCCAAAGTCAAAGCCACACGTCCTCACCGCCGAGCTGGTCTTCACCAGGGCAAGCTGCTTTCCTGCACACAGAGCAGAAACCATCACTCACTGGGGCCTGCACTGCAAAATTCATCAAAGTGACCGAGTGGGCAGGGTATCAGGCACAACTGCTGAGCTGAGGCACTGACTGTACGCTCAGACTAAACAGGAGGTGAGTAAATTGGCCAAATGTTCACTAGAAATTAGGTGTGCACACACACGTGTTAGGATTCAGCCTTTTCAGGCACCAAACAAGCAGACGTTGCACACAAACTCCAGAGCAGGACAGAGCTGGGAGCCAGACGTGGCGTGGGGGAGGTCCCCACAGGAGCCGTACCTGTTTCACAGTCCCAGAGCCGACAGCTGTTATCTGCAGAGCCAGTGAGCACGTGTCGGGTGTCCCCTAGGTCACCAGTTAAGGAACATCAGCGTGTTTGTAGCCCCCAGAAGCTGTTTAGATACCCAGAAAGTATTTATACACGAGGTCAAAAGGGTGCATTACAGCAAGAAATTGCTGAGATTGAGCAAATTCCATTACAGTAATGGCCAATGCTCCAGTACGGACAGCGAGTCCGAGTGCTCCTACTATAAAACCCACAGCTTTCCTCCTGAAATGGTGAGAAAAAGGCTAAAAAGGCTACAGTCCTCGCCTTAACACAACCTTTGTATGTTTTCACCTCTGCTACATCCTACCCACAATGGAGAGGGAAGATTGTGTGCAACTTGGACACCTTCCCTGAGCTCCCTGGGCCACCTCAAGCACGAATGCGAGCAGGTGTCACAGCACACGCTACCCCAAACAACACCCCAGAAAGAAAAAGCAGCAAAAACATCCAAGAGATGGAGTCAGGGCAAGTTAAATGCACCACGTGGCCTCCAGGCCTGTCGCATGGCAGCAGCTGAAAGGAACAGGCTGAGCTGAATCACTCCAACTAATGAGCAGGGCACAGACAAACTGGTTTCGCCGGCCAAAAGATACAGTCTGCATCCACGCACCACACGGCTCCCGTGTGGCCATTGTACGTGCCGAGCCGCTCCCCGTTCACCGAGTACCAAACGTTGACGATCTGGGGGAAGGAGAGAAGCCCTCACCACTGCAGGACCTCCTCAGGAGGCTCGCTAACCCACCGCTGCCCCTTCCCACCACCCGAGGAGGACGGGGGCTGATTACATGCCACACTCACGGGGTCCTTGGCCACGGTGAAGAGGAGGTCTCCCTCGCGGTTGTACTTGATCTGCGTGATGGAGCGCTCGTGGCCCTGCAGCAGGATCGGCTTCTGCGGGGGGGAGGTGACAGCTGGGGTTGGAAAGGGCCAAGGGACCTGGCTGGGATCCCCCACCCGGCTGTCACAGCTCAGGAACCCCCACCGGGGCCCTGCACTGCCCAAATAATCCCTCACAGCCCCCCAGAGACCATCACCAACCCCTTACCACACCCCACAGCCCTTCCCCAACCCCTCACAGCCCCCCATAACCCTTCACCAACCCCTCACTGCTCCCTCATAGTCCCCCAGAGCCCCCTCACCACCCAAACAACCCCTCACAGTCCCCCACAACTCCTCATAAACCCCTCACAGCCCTTCACCTACCTCTCAGAGCCCCCCTTAGCCCCCCACAACCCCTTATTGCCCCTCACCGCCCCCTCAGAGCCCCCAAAGCCCCCTCACCACCCGAACAAACCCTCAGCAACCCCTCAGAGCCTCCCAAAACCCCTCACAGCCCCCCAAAATTCCTCACCAACCTCTCACTGCCCCCCCCGCTCCCTCACAGCTCCCCACAGCCCCCCCCACCCTCACAAACCCCTCGTACCCCTCACAGCCCCTCACAGCCCCCCATAACCACCTCACAGCCCCTCCCCAACCCCCCATAGCCCCCACAGCCCCTCACCAACCCCTTATATCCCCTAATAGCCCCCTCCCCGCCCCCCACAGCCCCTCACGGCCCCCTCCCCGCTCCCACCATGGCGGCGGCGCTGCTGAGGCCGAGGCTCAGGCAGACGAAGAGGCCCCGGGGCCACCACTTCCGGGTCGGAGGGCGCGCGGCCGGCGGAACTTCCGGCGCCGTTGCCATGGCGACCGCGGGTGCGCTTCCGGGATGGGGCCTGAGGGAGCGGGGATGGCGGCGGGAGAGGGGCACGGGGAGGCTGTGGGGGGGTCGCGGTCGTGGATTTGGGGCTTTGGAGCCTTCCCCGAAGGGACGCGGCCATGGGCTGGGCCTCAGGCCCTAATGGCTGCGGGCAGGGCCCTGAAGGGGCAGGCCCCGGGGGGGGCTGGGGGCAGCAGGCCCGGCCCGGGGCTCCCCCTGAGGGGTCGCTCGTGGCCTCCCCGGGTTAGGGCAGGCCCCGTGCGGGGGGGAGAGGCTGAGCCGGGGCGGGCCGAGGGGCCGCTGGGGGTGCTGAGCTGAGGCTGCTGTGGCGCAGGGGAGGCGGCGGTGCTGCTGCTGGTGGCCGCGCTGTGGGGCAGCACCGGGCCCTTCCTGCGCACGGGCGCGGCGGGGCTGGAGGAGCTGCGGCACCGGAGCCGCCTGAGGCAGCTGCTGGCAGAGATCCGCTTCCTGGGCCTCAACTACAAGGTGAGGCCTGAGCCAGGGGCGTCACGGGATCGTTCCTGGGTGCTCCTGCGCTCGATACCTTTATTTAAACCGTTAAATGTTCCTTCTGTGTGAAGAATAAGTTATCCTCTGTAATACTTCACTTACTTGCCCATAGTGCTGCTCTTCCCATGAAGAATTTAGACCACCCTGTAGAAAGCAGGTCATTAATCCTCAAGTTTTACACAAAGTAAGCCCTGCCTGCCACCTGCAGATTGGAGAACTCAGGCACCCAACAGCTGGTGGCTGGCAGCAGTCAGCGGTGGGCTGCATTTCCACCCCCAAACATGGCACAGAACAAGGGGGTCGGGGCTCTGCTGCTTATTGAGGGGCTCGTGGTGGTTTCCGTGCCGTGACTGACGGGCTGTGCTCTTCCTGCAGTACATGGTGCCCTTCCTGCTCAACCAGTGCGGATCACTGCTCTTCTACCTCACCTTGGCCTCTGCAGGTCAGTTGTTGTTGCTTTTGTGAAGTGGGTTGATCGGGATTTGGGGGAGGAACCATTTTACTGATTAGTTTGCTGACCTGCTTGGTGTTCAGTCAGATGTCTTGTAACAAATTGTGCTACACTGCTCATTTTCAGACCTGTCCCTGGCGGTACCGCTCTGTAACTCCCTGGCTTTGATCTTCACTCTGGTGACTGGGAGGATGCTGGGAGAGGATATCGGTGGTAAAAGTGAGTTACACTTAAAATGTTTTGTCCTACTGTCTCCTGCATCTGTGTGCTAACTTAAAGTTGCGTGCTGCCCTCTGGTTTCCTGAAAACCAGCAAATGTGGACACAAGCATTAAAACTAGTTAAGTGGCAGTTCTGGCTAGGCTGAAAAGAAAGTGAAACTGATGTGTACGTGAGTAGGGCAAGTGAATTTGAATTGGCTGTTCTAAGCGAGCAGAATTCACAGGCCTGAGCCTCTACCTAACTGCTTAACCGTAAGAGAAACACTAAGGAATATGCCCTCTTTGAAACAGGATGCCCTGTAAGCCCCAAAACATGACTACTCATACCCCTTCCCATCCCTCACTCCATCCCATAACATTATTCTGCTGAGAAAGTCAGAAAATGGCAGGAAAATGAAAAGTTAAAGCCCAGAGCCTGGCAAAATAGCTGTAGGAACACGCTGTGCTTTGTCTTTGCAGGGGCCGTGGCAGGAATGGTGCTCACCCTCCTGGGTGTGATGCTCTGCATGGCTGGTTCGTGACCAAGGCGCAGCAAGCAAAGGAAGAGAACGCATTTAAACATGACCCCGTGGCATGAGGGGAGCTCCTGGCTCAGCCGCTGACCGCTTGGCTCTCATTCTGACACACCTGGAGCATGGATTAGACTCACCAAGCACCAGGGTGGAGCAAGGCATAGCACAAGGACAGCTTATTTAGTGTCTTAAGGAGCTTTTTTCCTGTGGGTGTTTTAAAGCAGGGATGGGAAGAGGGGTAATAACTTTCTAATAAATAATTCAAATGGACCTTCTGGGATCGACTGACTTTGTATGGAAGGAATCTTTTGTTAGAAAGGAGCATGTTCTGTGTGGTAATTCGTACTTCCCAAGTTCAGCTACAAACTGCTTTTTTAAATTAAAGCTCAGAAAAGCAGCCCTGTTCTCTGCCACATCATCACCCACAGAGCTGAGGAAAGGAGGAACGTTTTGCATTGTTTAATAGAAACGTGCACGTGGTTCATGGTTCACTGGTAGTCTTTCTCAAGCCCAGATAATTCGGGTGCCTGCTAAGAGTCTGTTAATTCACCAAAAAGCTTGGCCAGCCTATAACGTTACACAGACCTTGGACTCGCATGCTTTTGTTATCTGCAGCCGGGCAGACAGCAGCGTACCTCGCTGTCCTCCCATCACCGTCCCTTTGTGAGCTCTTCAGAGCAGGATTGCTGCCGAGGGAAAACATCATTCAGTGATCCTCACCCTCAGCATCGCTGCCATCCCTTCTCCCTGCTGTGGGCTTTTGTGCTGTGCCTGCAGTCCTTGCCTTTTTGTAGAAAGAATAAAAAAAAACAGTTATTAATGCAGCACTTTGCTGTTACAGAAAGCTTCTGGGATAAATTCATGGATTGTTTCTGGTCTTACCCAGGATTTTGTGTGCAGACCTGGGTCTCTGCGTTAAATTCAAAGGTAATTGTAAGGCCTAACAACCCCTCCCACTGCAGAGCAGAGCTATGGCACTCATAATTCTGACTGTAGAGCACAGCTCCTAAAGCAAATCGCAGCATCAGGCTCCCCGCTGAGCCCAGACGTCACTACCTGGTAGCTAATTCTTCACTAGGGCTTTCTCTAACTTCAGTTCAAAGGAGCTCTTTTCTTTTGAAGTTCTAATTAGTCTAATGAGACTACCTAGGCAGAACGGTGAATCAGCTATAGTATGACGCACGTCATCCCCTTATATCAGTTCTTAGTGTGCTTATGACAAGTTTAAGCCACAAATGCCCCACAAACAATAAGCATCTCTCAGACATTTTAAAACAAAATTCAGTAAAATGAAAACAGATTTTTCTTTTTTAAGAAAAGTGTAAAGCTCATTATTATTTAACAAATATATTCAGGCATTTTAGGCATTACATGTTTATTCTGTGCCAGCTTCAAAGCTTCACCTAGCTACCGGCAAGTTCTAATTAACAAGTTGTATCTGGGGGTACTGAATTTTAGAGTACGAAATCAGAACACAGCCGCAAGGGATCTTACACACTGCACAGACACATTAAGTGGAATAAATACTGCTGTAAACTGCTTGGGTTTTTGGTGTGGGTTGTTCTACGGTCTCTGCAACTCTCTGGTAGAGGAGTAAGGATAGAAATAGGGCACATACACACCAAAAATAAATAAATAAATAAAATATATATCCAATAAAGCCTTTTTATATCTTTACTGTCGTGGGGAGCTGTAACATGCTTTCAGAAGGGAAATGTTCATGACCCAGATGACAATCTCTTGGCTTTCTAAAACGCAGAGCACTGTGGCTACGCTTCCTCTGGGTTCAGAAGTTCCCCCTGGTGGTTACTTTCATCTTGACACATTCTAGGGGGAAGCGCAGTGCTGTGCACTTTCCCAAACAATTGCTACAAAACGTTCTTAACGTGTTCACACAAGGCTGGTGCCAAGCAAGGATGCTGTAACCATGGCAGTTGGGGAGGGAGACTGCTGCACACATCCACGGCTTCATCTCATGGATGTCTGCACAGAGCAGCTGTGTTCATAGCACACACAGCCCTGTGCCAGCCGAGCCACCCACCTTTCTGCTGTGCTTTTTGCGTCTATCTGGATGGTTCCTAAAACAAAAAAAGAAGCAGGTTCTCAGCATCAGGCAGAAGCGAGCTGCAGGACCTGTGACGGTGCTGAATGGGAGGGCTAAGGATAGCTGTAGCCAAAGAGCACCATGGAGATGAACATTTAAACCTCTCAGCCACAGCCTACGTACCACGGTGTCCTGTGTGTGGAATCCTGGGGCACCAGCAGCTCAAAGTAAGGCAGTTTTTTGTACTCCTCAGCCCCCACAGCCACGTAGTAACCACCATTCACCAGCTCCTCCTTGCCAAGTACCTGCGTGCCATCCAGCCTGCAGAGCCTCGGGAAAAGACAGCAAAGGGTTCGACACTGGGGAAAGTCACAAGGCAGCGAGCAGCCCCTTGGTGTGGAAGCACTGAGCTCCCAGTCCTGTGTGCTGTTTATTCAGTGCTATTTATTCAGTATTAACACCCACCTGTTAACAGCTCCGCTGCGCAGATCAGCTTTTGCTGTCAGCACAGCCAGGAGCGTGTCCCACTGCAGCGGGGCGCTCTGAGAGAACAGCAGCTGGAAAGGAGGGCTCAGCAAATCCCCATTCCGGAAAACACTGCAGCAGAAACAGCCCAGAGCATGCCATGAGCCAGAGTTCCTGCAGCTCCCGTGAACACAGCACTCGCTGCCCCAAGACTTTTCACACATCTCAGCCCCACAGCTGCTGAAAGCCCCTTACAATCAGCAGATCACACGCACCATCCTGTGGGCCACAACCAGCCAGAAATGAGCAGAAATATTCCATTAACAGCTATGGAGACATCAATTCTCCCCAGCCCTGGTGGCTCCTCATCTAAGACCATCACTGGACACGGTGACAGCTGTAACTGTGCCACCAGCATCTCTGTTCAGTTTCCCAAAGGAGACAGTATGTGGAAGGGAGGGGAAACAGGCAGATGCCTGACAGTATTGACAACAAATTCCCTCCAGAAGCATTCCCAAAGACCCTCCAAGGAGAAAACACTGAGGCACTTACTGTATGGCAAGGTGGGCGTGCTTCTGCCGTCGTGCTGCGATGTTTGACTTCCAGGGAGCTACGGTGTGGGACTGGAGACAAGGTCAGTGCACAAAACCAGCACAGCCCTGGCACTGAGCCTCCCAGGGCTGTTCCCTTTTTCTGCACCAGGAGCTGTCTGCCCTGCCTCTGTGTTCGCTGCTGCTAGGTGGGGTTTGTTGTCAGCAACATCAAGGCCCGTCCCCACTCAGCTCAGACTCACCTGCACGCCGCTGCTCTTACTGGTCCCACGGAGCTCCTTCCTTGCCTGGTCTAAATAGCTGTGGGAACAAGGAGATGACACCCCATATACCAGCTGGGCCACGACTGACTAAAGAGCAGTAAGGAAATGGCCAACTGCTCTGAGCTGGTGCATCATCACCAGATGTATTTATTATTTAGGTCACTTTAGAAACAATCCTCTATGTGCCATGTCTCAGGGGCTTACAGAATTTCACTCTAAAGTCTGTTATGTTTAATAAATTCCTTGTAAATCACAGACCAGTTCAAATATCCATGGTAAAGACACCCAGAGTGTTGTATTCCTTTGAGCTAACCACTGGTCAAGGCTCTGAGGACTGACTGCTGTTAAATACAGCCCGGACCCCTCCTCAGCACGGTGCAATACGCACTCAGGGAGCCAAATTCACCTGACACACACATCCCACACATCCCCTCAAGGTTCAAGCAATGCCACAAGTCTCTTTAGCCTTCTGTATTTCAGGATGAACCAGAACAGCTCTACTTCATGCAGGATTGAAAAAAAAAAAAAGCCCAGTTCTACTAAACCAAAGCCTGGGACCGAAGGACCACCTACTCACTTGAGCCTTTTGAACTTCTCAAACCCCGCAGCCACGTACTGCTGCCCATCCTGCAGGTCCCCCAGCTCAGCGATGCGGTGGCCGTGCCTGGGGGTGTAGAGATTCCTCACGGCCAGGGGCGCCTGAATGCTCCTGGTCACCTCCTTCAGAAACGCCTCGAAGGTCAGGAACCGCCGCTGGTTCACCACAAACTTCTTCCCGTGGAAAAAGGGGTCCCCGTTGCGGTACACCACCACCTTCTTGGCTGGAGGTGCCAGAGCTAAGCCTCTGGAGCTCATCCCCGTGGGTCAAAGCCCCAGGAACCAGCGCAGAGCACGGAGGAGAGCTGTGGTCAGCCTCCTGCCCAGCCTGAAGCCTTCTGAGCAGCCGTCTTCGTGTTCTGCTGTCCCTCCCCAGCAGTCCCCTGAGCAACTGGCCGTCTCCAGGGCTGCAGGCCCAGCAGGAGGAAGCTGTGGGCCAGACCGGAGGCCACATCAAACAACCTGCAAACACCTCGATATCTGAGAGCCAGGAACCACCCGGCTCCTCACCCTCACTGCACGTCGAGTACTGTGGCCACCAGGCTCTGATTAATGGCTTAGAGGCCAGGAGCAGAAGGGCAGGCAGGAATAGGCAGATTCAGAGACAAGCTGCAGAAATGCTTTTTATTCACATACAGTCATCAGGAACAGGATATCTCTGCCATACAATAACAGCTCCCACTCAGGGCATAGAAACAGAGTGTTTGCACGTGAGACTCAGCGTCCCTGTAAGGAACCAGAGTAACATGCGGAAAGTCCCCTTTTAATATCCCTGAACTAGTGCAAAGGTAAAAAAAATAAAAAATATCTCTACAAATGAAGTGCTCTCAAAGCACAGCACCAACCCCTTAACTCCTTACTTGCTCCCTGGAGCGTGAGGCATTCTCTCCAAGTGATCCTGCCACACACACGGCCAGAAACGTGCATGTCAGGAACCAAGCCTCATCTCCTGAAGGTCAGGTTTGATGTTCTGTCCCCACCAGCTGCACGTTAGGAAACTTCCCTCCTAACTCAGTACTTCAACTAGGTGTTCCTACCACGAGCACCTGGAGACCCCAGAGCTGTGACAACAAAAACATCCCAAAAATACAGCTCAGATACTGGTATGGGTCACCCACAGTTCAGTGGAGAAGTGCTTATTCCTACAAATTAAAAGCACCTGTTGTCTTCAGGCATTTCAGGTCCACCCCAAGCAATCAGCTGGCCAAAGAGTACCTCCTGCATGAGACAGTCTTCCCAGCCTCAATTTACCCCAGAACCCAGCTCTGCCAACAGAAACAGGGTTTTTGTGGATGGCCTCCCTGGGACTCCCTCCAGGGCACACAAGCTGCAGTGACAATTAACCCCAGCTTTGACCAATTATTCAAATTTAAAAGAAATTAAATGTCTTTCTTGCCCCATGCATCTGACATGGAGAACATCAGCCCATGGAGCTGGAGTCCCCTCAGGCTACTGCTGTCCCCGAGGTGATGCCATGGTGCTGCAGCTCCTCTGCTCCTCCACACCAGCACAAATGTCCTCCACACTTGGCAATGCCTTTCTATGGGTCAGGAGTCCCCAGCCTCTGTTTCAGCTTCAGGTACTGTAAGAGAAAGAAAATCAAGTGTTAACAATTAAATCCCAGATATAGAGAAGCAGGAAAGCACCTGCCTTTGCAGATTAGCCAGCAAAGGCGTCACACTCAGCCAGGACCATAGAATCATAGAATTATAGAATCATAGAAATAGATTCCATATACAGAATAATGAAAAAAATATGATTCTGTACAGAATGAATCTGTAATCATTCCTGATTCTATGATTCTAAGAGGCAGGGCCAGGCCCTTACGTTTTTACGGCTGACGATAGCTTGTTGCAGCCACAGCAGCTCCATGATCAAGTGATTTCTGTAGGACTGGAGGCCAGCCCGAGTTCGGGGAAGCTCCTTTATGTCCTCAAGTGGGATTTCTGCAGAGAAATGGAAGAAACCATTACCAGAGCACTCACATTGCAGCTACCATCTGTCCTGCAATGAGTTTCTCGAACCTCTCCAGTACAGTCTCGAGATTTTGATTCCCCAAGGACCTACGTTTGCCACCCACACTCATCACCAGGTTGTTCAAAGCACGTGGGCAGAGGGCACAGCCCTGACCACAGAGCGCAGGGGCTCCCGTCCCTTACCCAGGCAGGCTTCGAGGGACTCCGACTCGTGGACAGTGCTGTCCCACACGGATGACACGCTGCTGTTCTGCCACTCCTCGCTCTCTGCTAGGGCACTGCACCCCTTTGCAGTGCTTTTATTTGCCTCAGCCCCTGGATTTGGGGGTCTCGCTGCATCACATTCACCCGGGGAGCTTGGGTCTTCCTTGCTTTGCAGCTGGGCTGGAGGTTTCACACTGCTGCTGCAGCCCCAGTCCCGCTCCGGTTCGGAAGCATCCAGCTCCTGCTCTGTTTTTTCTGTGCTGGCCTTGTCACTCGGTACAGACTCTTGTACAGCTGAACACTTTCCTTGCAGTGAATTCTAGAGGAGCAACATGCGACAAACTGAACAAACAGACATAGAGGGAAACAGAAAGATCTGAATGGGGCTGTGCTGCGGGCCAGGGCTCGGTCCCAGCCAGGCACCTGCTGCTCCCAGCAATCCTGCCCCGATACTGACATGCCCTGGTTGGGGCACGCAGATTTTTAAAGGGTCTCTCTTCCAGAGGGAGCAAAGGCATTAAATAGCAGCACTCAGCTATCACAGGAGCAGGTCGGACTTTGCTAGGAATGGCTGAGGTGGGCGCAAGGAGGCGAGGTCTGCAGGAGCAGGCTGGGCGTTTGAACCTGCAGCCAGGGACTTGGTGACAATATGGGACGAGCCAGAGCCTTGGCTCTGTAATTATCACTTTCCTCAGGTAGAAATAGAGCACAGGGCTGACAGAGATGGTCCCTGGGGCAGCACAGCGTGAGCAGCACCCAGGGCGCCCACCCTCCAGTCCACGCTCCCCCCAGGAGCAGCCGAGCCCCCAGCCCACCCTCCCACCCCCCCGGTGGCCACGGGCACGGACCTTGGGGACAAAGATGGGCCTCGGCAGGTACCGTCCCGTCCACTGCAGCTCGCTCAGATCTCCTTCGATCTCCCTCACCACCTCCTCGTACTCCTGCTGCAAGCTCCTGAAGCGCCGCCGCAGCTGCCAGCCCCTGACGCAGGCCTGCGGGCAGAGGCACCTCAGGAGCCCTGCGCCCCCCCCCCAGCACCCCCAAAGCCACCCCCGAAGCCCCCCGAGAGCCACCCCCAGCCCCCCGTGGGTAAGAAACGATCGTGGCCGAGCCTGGAGCCAAGTCAGTTTAATGGCAGCGCGCCCCGACCCGGCCCTCCCGCTGTGCCCCCCCCGCGGGACCCCCACCTGCAGGCGGGTCACGGCACCCAGCAGCTGCTGCCACTGCTTGGCCTCCGCCTCTGCCACCGCCGCCATCACCGCGGGGCAGCGGGCACCGGCCGATGGCGTCACCCGCCCGGCCATGGGGGCCCACAAGATGGCGGCGGGGCTGGGCAGGGGGGGGAAAGGGGAAGGGCCCGGGCCCAGTCCCCGCTGTTTTCCCCCAGGCGGGTGCTTGAGGTGTCGCCGCCGTTGGCCTTGCAGTGGGGGCACTGGGGGGGGTCCTCCCCGTGCGGGGCTGTGGCTGCTGCTCCCGTCCCGTCCCATGGGGCCTCTTCCTCGCAGCAGCCTCCTCCTCGCAGCTGGGACGGTGCCGGGTCAGGCTGCAGCCTCCTCAGGGCCGGGGCTCTCCGCCAGGTGCAGCTTCTGTCTGGGTCCATGTCAAGGGAAAGCACCGGAGGCCGTGCCATCATCCATCCCCTGCCACCACCATCACTGCCACCCCACGCCAAGGATACATGGAGCTGCTCAGCTCCTCCAGCTGCGGGAGGCAAAGGGAGAGGCTGCAGCACACATGGGGGGGCCGGGGGCCGGCGGGGACCCCACCAGCACCACAGGGCTGGGCACGGGGCGTGGAGACGCCACTCACGTGCACCAGCAGCTGGTCCAGGTTCCTGTCGGCCACTGCCTTCTTCTGCTCCTCGGGGAGCTCCTCCACGCAGACATCGAGGCCGAAGTGCAGCCGCGCCAGCTTCTCCTGCATCTCCCGCACGTGCTCCAGCTGCTCGAAGGAGCACTCCTTCCCTGCACCCACGGGTGGGAGCCGTCACAGCCCAACCAGCTGCATCCCCCGCACCCCCCCGTGGCCCCCAGCCCCTCACCGAAAGCCTGCAGCTTGCCCGAGTGGAAGTCGCTGAGGAGGCTGAGCAGCCCCCCCTCCATCTCGCACACATCGGAGACCTCAGTGAGGAAGCTGTGCTGCAGCGGAGCCCCCCGTGCCGCCCCCGTGCCACCTGCCCGCACTCTCTCCTTGCTCGCCCTGCGCAGAACACGCAGCTGGTGGCACCGCCAGACCCCCCCTTGGCCCCCCAGCACCCGAGGGCGCCCCAGGGACCGAGGGTCCCCCCCCCACCAGCACTGACCGCCGGGGCCTGGCGCGCTGCTGGGCCTGAGGGCAGTGCAGGGCAGCGGCAGCGCGAAGGACGCGCTCTTGCTGATGGGCAGCGGCCGTGGGGCCCCGGCAGGCGCCGGCTGGGCCCTGGGGCTCCGCTTTTTCCTCCTCTCCTCCATCCTGGAGGGGCTCCTGGAGCTGTGGGGCAGGCACCCACGCAGGATGGACAGCACGGCTCTTGGCAGCTCCTTGCTGGGGGCTTCTTCGTCCTCACGCCCCCAGCAAGGCGCCTCGGTGGGGCTCGGTGGGCTGCAGCAGGGCTCGGGGGGCTGCAGCGGAGCTCCAGAAGTTGTGGTGGGGCTCGGTGGGTTGCAGCGAGGTTCGGCAGCAGCAGGAGGGCCGAGGCCAGGAGCTCTGCCCGCACTCGCTGGGATCCGCGGCCGGGCTGGGGCTGCGTTATCTCGGGCTGTGCCGCAGCATCAGGGCGCAAGGCAGAGGCTGGGACCTGAAAAGCAGCCAGGGAGCTCCCAGCCGGGGATTACTTCCCAGCGTCATCTCCCAGAGCCCGAGCAGAAAAGAAAAGAGGATTTCAGCCCCAGCGGGGCAGGGCGAGACCCCGGATGCCCTAAGGGAGAGCTGGAGCTGAGAGCACCGCAGGGACCCGACACCCCCCGAGCCCTCCCCGGAATATTTCGACCCCCCCCCCCAAGCTCCTCCTGGACCCCCGGCGGTGGTGGGATGGGGCTGCGGGAGCCCCTCGCTTTGTGGCAGGCTCCGGCTGCCCCCCCCCGAGCAGCGGGACGGGGACGGGGACGGGGACACCGACCTGTGCCAGACCCCCCCAGCTCCGTCCCGGGCCGTCCCTCGGAGCCGCCCGGCCGCCTCCCCAGCCCCGGGGCCGGGATTTGCATTTAAAGGGAACGGGAACTTCCTCCGGGCACCGCACAGCCCCGGGGCGCTGCTGCCGGGACGGGCACCGCCGGCACCGACACCCCAGTAAAATCGGGGGTGTCGCAAATGCCAAGGGCTGAGCCCTCAGGGGGGTGACAGCACCGTGCCAGGAGGGTCCCCGGCTGGGCTGTGCCTGCAGGACCCCAGGGTGGGTGCAGTGGGGGGGTCCTCCCTGCTCCCCAGGGAGAGCAGCAGGAGCTGCCCTATGCCAGGGGTCCTGGGCACAGACCCCCACCCCTTCCCCCTAGGCAGGGACATACCAGCAGGTTTGCAGCTGAAGCCCCCCTCCCAGCCTCTCCACTCCCACCCCAGGAGCCAGAGCCCCCCCCAGAGCCCCCCATTTTGCTCCAAAACGCAGCCCAAAGCCCAAGAAATAACACAGACAGCAGCAGCGAGTTTGGGTGCATTTCTATTGGGTACCAAGATACATACACCAGCCCCCCGCCGAGGTTATCTGTACCATAACAGAAAAAAAAAAAAAGGTGGTGGTGGTGGTGACTTGCTGTGAGATTTTTCTTTGACTGAAAGAGCAAGAAGAGAAGTCCAGAGCCAGGCTGCAGCCCTCGGCCAGCCCTGCTGCTGGGGATCTGGGGGCTCCCGCTGGGCCAGAGCTACATTCACTCGCTCCAGAAGGCTCCTGGCAGAGGCATCCCCATGCAGGAGGAAGCGATGCTGGCGGTGCAGGGCTAGAGGAAAAAGCCCCACAGAACTCCAGGGAACGTGTCCTAGTGGATGTTCAGGACTGTGGCTCTACAGAGCCGTATTGGACTCTGTAGACAACCCCATTCATTAAACCTGAACTCGCTGGGCTTCCCTTGGAGGAAAGGGGGACGCAGAGGCACCTGCTGCAGGCTGCTCCCAGGGCAGGTCCTTCGCAAGGGCACTGTACAGTTGCAGAGAGAAGATGCAAGAGCAGCTGCATCACCAGAGAAGAAACCAAAGCTGTTCCACTGAATGCAGCCACCGCAAGGAACGGCCCAGGCCGGCTCACTTCAGCTTCAAGCGAAAGGAAGGCAATGCTGAAAATAAAGTCTGCTGGAGAGAAGCTGCAGGAAGGGTTTCAAGGAAGCAGAGGTCTCCCAAAACAACAGCGAAAAGAGGAAGTCTTGAGAAACTGAGGAGAAATCCCCCAAGCCCCGTGCCAGCCAGCCTCACGTGTCTCTCAACGCCCTCCCAGCACAAGCGGGTCGGGTCCTGTGGGCAGAGGCACCCGGACACAGCAGCAGCTGGCACCTGGGACCAAGCAGAGGGCCAGGAGGGGGCCGGGCAGCACCAGTGCAGACTGGAGGGTCCGCAGGGGGCTGCAGGAGGGACCGGCCCACGGCACGGGCCTGTGCTGGTCCCAGCGGTTCGGCTTCAGCAGGTCACGGAGCAGACCCGGGTTGGATCCTCCTGGAGCCCCCTGAACGCCCCCAGGAGCAGCTCAGCACCACGGGGTGGTCCCGGCGCAGGGCAGAGCTCAGCTGAAGGCCCTCCCCGTCCCCTTGCACAACTGGTCACACGTGCTTGTGCAAAACACTTGGGAGTTAGACCTTTGGATTAACTGTTTAATACACTTGTGCACATGTGCGTATAGCAAAGAGGCAACTGTGAATCATAAGGCTATCGAGACATTGGCAGGTTCTGGGAAGAGCAAAGACCCTGCAGGAGGCCTGGGTGAACCAGGCGTCCACGGTTTGCTTCTTTTTGTCCCCATTCAATACACAAAACCCATACACAGAGGAGGAACGGCCTCTCTCGCCCTCCTTTGCTCGGCTCCCACTCAAGAGAGCTGCCAGCCAAAGCAACAGCAAGTCCAGGAGCTCCCTCCTGCCTGTTGCAGAGGAGGGAGGGAGAATCCAGAGCTGGGAAACGCTTCTGCTCTCCCTCGCTCAACTCTTTTGCTGTCACTCAACACGAGAGCATCGCCGTGAAGGCGGAGGAAGCCTCCAGCTGTCCCAGTGCCACGAGCCGGAGGAGGGCTGGGGCCGATCCATGCGCCTGCTTTCCTGAGCTGCACTAGATTTTGGGGGAGTCACAGCCTGCCAATGACAAGGTCTTTTAGTGAAAGGGACAATCAGTTGAGTCTCCATATATTAGTTATTCACGCACACGCAGGGAGGTGGGTCGTTCTAGGTTCCATATATATTCGTATATAAAGTGTACGTTGCCCTGCACAGATTTTATATACCATATATATATATGCCTCGCACACATATATATATATATAAAAATTTAAAAACCCTCCAAAAACCTACGCTAGGAAATCTCGAAGCCCAGGGAGGGCTGTCCTCTTGCACCTGTCCAAGGACCAGGAGAGGGCCATCAGAGTCTGGAAACATTCGCGCTACCCTCCCTCGCCCTACCTCTGCCTACCACACGGCGAGCTCAGTCAGCGCCCTGAGTGCCTTCCTCAGTCCCACTCTGCCCCAGGCCTCCTATGCTCAGTTCTCCAAGCGGCTCCGCAGGATCTGTGCCGTGCGTTGGCTTTCCCGAGTGGAGGCAATCCTCAGCCAGGCGCTGCTCTGCCGGGGCACCTCCCGCCACCGCCTCGGAGCCCTCCCGGGCTGGGTCCTTCAGGGGCTCCGACAGGTCCATGTCTGCCCGGGGCGCGTGGGCACACAGGTCCTGAACCTTCTTGTTGAGGTCGTTGCGCTCCGTCTGCAGGGCTCGGCACAGTTTCTCCAAGCGCTGGATTTTCACCTGAAGCCCCTCCAGCTCTTTATCCCGCAGGGTTTTCTGCAAACAGAGAGGCAGTTTTCAGACTTTCACCACGCCGGGGACGAAGGCAGAAAGGGAGAGAGATGAAACCTCAAAGGGAAGTTTGGGGGGAAAAGACCAGGCAAGTCGCCTGCCTTAGCACAGAAAGCCAGAGCCTCCTCACCTCTTCAGCCATTTCCAAGAGAGCCTTGTTGCTGCTCTCCCAGCGAGAACGGTACATGGTGGTCTCTTTCTCCAGCTTCTTAATTTTCTTAGTCATCTAAGTGACAGAAAGGGAACAAATGAGCCAGTGATGCAGTGGGGGCACACTTCAGGTATCCACAGACAGGCACCTGCTGTCCCAGACAGCGAGACCCTGCTGCCCTGCACATCTCCTTGCCTCGTTGTGGTCAGAGTCAAGTGGGAAACACCAAGCAGGTAACAACAAACCAGGCAACAGGGGTAGTGCTGCTTTTTGTGACTCAGGAGGGGTGCAGCAGCCACCCCACAAGCTCAGCATCCACCTCGTGGCTGGTTTAATGCCAGCAGAACTCCACAAAGCAGAGCTGCAGCTTATCCTGCTCACAGACGCAGCGAGGGGACAGGCAGTGCCTCCAGCCCACACGCGCTCTGCCAGGCAGCGACAGCAGTTACCCACCTTCTCCATCTCCTGTTTAAATGTCGTGAACACTTCGCTGCTTTTGGAAAGGGTGTTCTGGAATTCTTCAAACTTCTCTGTGTAGAGAGCAAGCTGCAGGGAGAGACGGGGTTACAGCTCCTCACCACGGCACCTCCCGACAGCCTTTCCCGGGAGAGGGGAGGTTTTAGCCAAGAAGTGAGCCAGTTATCTTGTGACTGAACTTTATGACAAACAAACTAGCAGCATGGGGCTGCTCTGCCAACGTTAGGTACTGGAAAATGTGGAGCAGTATTTCTCCTTTCCTAGGAAAACATCCTCAGAGAGTGATGTGCTCTGCAAACATCTCCTGGCCTCAGCAGGAAGCATTGCTGGGTCTGATTCAGCAGAGCATGACCACCCAACTGCTCCCAGCACTGCCAAACGTGCTGGTAAAACCAAGGCCCCTTTCTCCCACAAGGCAGAAGAGCTGAAAGAGGTCTCAGCAAACACTGTGCTGACACAGACACACCGATACCAAAGCCAGGAACAGTCCTGCCCTTGTGTTTTCCAGATTAAGCAACTTCAGGTTGTTCCCCGCTGAGGGAGAAAGGAAGAGAAAACAAACAAACTAGCAGGCAAACGAGCAAGCAGGCTGAGAGCACACAGCCCAGGTAGCTCACCTGCTGCTTCAGATGGGTCTCCTGCTGCTTCATCAGCTCACACATCCTCTGCGACTCCACAGCTTCCTTCAGCAGCTAGGGAAGAACAAAAGCAGTTACCCCGCTGCCACCAGGGGAAGTTCCTGATAAGCGCTGCGCAGCTGAGGCTCGGCCTGGAGACAGCAGAGGGCTGGGAGAAACACTGAGAGCAGAGCGGGGACTCCAGCTGTGCTCCTGAGGCAGCTGGGGAACAGTCACTGCTGGGCAAACAGCAGGCCTGGGATGGCCTCATCTGGCTTGGGCTCTGCGTTTGGGAACCCAGCAGCAAAAAACCTCCACAAACGAGGCAAAAAGCGAAGTGCTCGGAGCTGTTACAGACTGGTTGCGAGACTTACAAAGTCCTTCTCCCGCTGGTGCCTCTCCTCTGCCTCCTTCAGCATCTCCTGTGCCTGCTCGAGCTTGGCGTCCACGAGCTGCTGCTGCAGGTCCTTGTGTTTGAACACCTTCTCGATGTGCTGCCAAGGGAACACCACCAGTCACTGACACGCTGGGCCAGGGCCCTGCTGCCGGGGTGGCAGAGATCCCGAGGGAAGACCCCAGAGCCCTGAGGCCCCTTTTCCTACCAGTCCCTGCCCAGAAACACACCCCGTGGGGCAGAGCAGGCTGCCCCAACCCACCTCCTCCCGCAGCTCGTACTGCTCGATGAGCTTCTTGAGCCGCTCCGCCAGCTCCATGTTCTCCTGGCGCAGCTTGGAGTTCCTCTCGTTGTGCTGCTCCATCTGGAGCTGGATGTCGTTCAGCGTCACCTGGAAGTGGGAGGTCACCTCCTTCCTCTTCTCCTCTTCCTCCCGGGCACGCTGGACACCCTCCTCCTGCACGAGCAGGGCAGAGACAGCGGGGCCACGTCAGGCTCTGCGCGGGCAGGCAGGTGAGAGAACCTGCCCACGCCGTGCTGCTCGGAGCCCACCCAGCCTCCCCCTGCTGTCAGTCAGTCAGGAACCATGGGCCACTGCCTGAAAACCCCTTCCTCAGCCTGCCCTGGGCCTTTCCCCTGCATTTCTGCAGGGAACACAACAGGGAACAGCCCCCTGCCCTCCTCTCCCTTGCAAGGCAAAGGTTTAACAGCAATTCTAAATGCCTGCTCTGGAAGTCATCAGGCTGTGGGCTACCACAGGCAGAGGTCAGCTGGCCAAAGAGGCTCCCAGCCCTGCAGCAAGTGATCTGAGTGCTCGGGAGGAAGCAGCTCGTGGAGCAGCACCCAGGAGACACTTGCCTTGAGGGTGCGGTTGTGCCTCTGGAGCTCACGGCACAGACTCTCCAGCTTGCTGCGGGCCAGGATGGCCTTGCTGTGCTCGCTCTGCAGGTGGTCCTTCTCTTGCACCAGCTGCGTCTGCTTCTTCTGCAAGATCTTCATCTGCTTCTGGGAGTTACGGTGCTCTTCCAGCTAGGGCAGGAGAGCAAAGGGCACAGATGTAGCAAAACAGACCAGGGCAAAGCTGTGCCTGTATGAGGGAACAGGGGGACCAAAGAAGTGCTCTGTGTACCGTAAGAGAATGGGAGTTTTATAACACAAAAGGTGCTGGTTGTGAGCAGAACAGAGCTGATGCAGAGCCTAAAGTCCCCTGGACTGGGCTTTTCTCCTTCCTGAATCAGGATCCTGCCAGAACCCTGACAGACTCACACGTTTCTCCAGCATCTCCACGCACACTTTGCTCATCGGAGCAGAGCTCCAAGCACACGGCCACACGCAGGGAAACCTGAACGCGACCCCTTGCCATGCACAGGGACAGTTCCATGTGTCTCTGCCCTGAATACAGCACGTGCTGAGGTTAAATGTGGCCCATAAGAGCTGTACAGGGCTTTGTGTGCATGCCCAGCTCTGCAACACGCACCTAGCAGCACACTGGCTCTGCCAAATAGCCACTTCTTGCTACGAAATTATCAACAGAAACACAGTGACTGAGCGGTGGAGACAGGAGATGCATCTGGTCCTGTCACAGCTGGGCCTGCCAGCTCACGGCTCAGCCCTGCCTGCAGAGATGAGGAATCGCAGGCTCAGCACAACAGGCCACCAGGACAAGATGGGCAAGAGATGCAGCTCCCACTTACAGGAACAGACAGGAAGCGTATCTGAAGTCCTCTTACATGCAGATCCTGTCAAAAATGCTCCTGTCCCTGCTGACACCTCTACAGAACATCAAAACAACAGTGCCCAGCCAGACCAAGCAACGCCTGCCCTCCTGATATTTGGATATCCAGCACCACAGAGATCCCAGAACATACACTACAAAGCTCCAGGCGTGTTCCTGGACTGTCCCTCTCAACACCAAGAGCAAAATAATCTGCAGCCATCGTCTGCCTCACCGCACAGCCCTGGTGCTCGCTGCAGCACTCCTCCCTCTGCCCCAGAACCTGGCACGCAGACGCAAGGACTCACCAGCTCAGCGTATTTCTTGCACAGTGCCGCTAGTTTCTCCTCTGGAGTGCTCAGGGTGTTCAGCGTCTGCATCAGCAAAGTGATCTCCTTGCCTGGAACGAGACACAGGATGAAAAAAAAAAAAAAGTAAACATAACTCACGCAGAATTCTGCCTCCTAAAGGCAGAGACAAAGCAGGCCTCGCAGCCGTCACTGCCCCGGGCCAGAGCTCCCAACTCCACAACCACCACCGGCACCACCACCGCAGGGCAGCTCTTACCTAGGCCCTTGGCTTTCTTCTTTTCCTGAGCCTTCTTCTGGTCCCGCTCCCCGCACTCCTCGCCAGCTCGGAACTCCTCCGTCCCCTTGGTGCCCTCCTTCTCCCCGTTCATCTCGGGGCCACCCGGCTCCTGCTCGCCGTTCCTCGGGGACTCGCTGCGACACTTCTCCGCCTCCTCCTGCTCCGCGGGCTCGCTCTGCCCGCCGTCCTCGCCCGGACCCTCCTGGCTGGCATCCACGCAGTACGTGTTCAAGATGTCCTCGAGCTGTCTGCTCAGCTCTTCGGAGACGTCACGCACGGCAGGCCGGGAGGACTTGGCGTCCTCCTGCGCGAGAGGAGCTGTGGGAGACGCGGACACAAAGCATGACACTGCCCCCACGCAGCCTGTTCTCTGCTCCCCAGAGACACCAAGGAGAGGTTTCCCCGAGCTCCCCACGGCACGGGGCAGGCTGAACTTCCAGCAGCACAAGGCGCTTTGTTCAGGAGGAGGCCCTGACAATGGAGGTGCATTCCTGGCAGCCTCTCCTTTGATCACGAGAGCATGACCGAGCCCCTGACATCTGTCAAGAGCAAGATCTGCCCCCTGCCCGCCAGCCTTTAGCACAAGCAGGTTGCGCACGAGTTCTCCCTCAGAGGAGCAGCCTGCAGATTTCCCCAGAGCCCAGCTTTTGGGTTATTCCCTCTTCCCACACGTAGGAGCAGCTGCACTGGCTCAGACCGAACGCGTCTCATCCCCAGCAGCAGACACGTGGGGAAGAGCAGGCAGCACATCCTTCAGCACACCTCTGTGCTTCCAAAGGTCCCCCAAAGGGAGAATTTACAGCACTGGGTTATTAAATTAACTCCGTTAACTCTATTATTAAGCTACCTCTATCCACTGGGCACTTCCTACATCATACATTTACGAGGTGTAAGAATCTAAGGCAAGGTTAATGTTAACCAAGCACCCCCCCGATTACTGTTTTTATTTGTCTTCCATAGAATTATTTTTACCAAGTGCTAACGACAGGGCAGATCGCTCAAGGCTACCCCCAGGAGGGCTGGCTGACACGTTCTATATGGAACCCTGGGGGTTTAAGCCCGATGAACGCCCCATCATTTCCACACCAGCATCAACTCCACGCCTCGGAAAAGCAGCAGGAACTACTTCAGACCCACGTACACTGCAGGAATTGCAGAAAACCAGGACTTTCTGCCCCCAAAACCACACCTGCCCTCACCCAAGCACCAAGGGGGTGAGCGCAGCACCCTGCCCTCACCAGGAGCAGCCGCAGCCCCGCTGCCTCCAGGCCTGGAACCCTCCCTCGGGGCTTCCCCGCACCTCCAGGCAGGGAGTGCACCCCCCAGCCCCGTCCCCGTGTCCCCTCCCCACCTTCCAGCCCTGCCGTGGGCTCGGCCGTGTCCCCCTCCTCCAGCAGCAGGGCGCCGCCGGCCACGGAGGAGCCCGCGGGGCGCGGGGCTGCCTTGGCTTCCCCGCCTTGGTTCTTCATCGCCGCCTGCGCCCGCTCGGTGTCGGCGAGTCCTGGGGGAAGAGAAACGGGGGGGGAGAAAGGGGGGGTAAGCCCGGGGGGTTAACGGGGGGGTTAACGGGGCCAAACCCAGGGGTTTAACGGGGTGAAACCGGGGCTTTAAGGGGGTGCAGCCCCGGGGTTTAACGGGACGAAGCCCTGCGATGTCCCCAGGGCCCAGCCCGGGGGTTTAACGGGCCGCAGGCGCCCCCCCCCCGCCCCGGGGCAGCTCCGTGGCACCGGGACGCGGCCGGTTCCTGCCCCCCCCCCCCCTCCCCGTGGGGCCGCCTGCTCCCGGGGGGGGTCCGGGCCCGGCCCGTGCTGGCGGGGGGGGGGAGGGGAAGGGGGGGGGGCAGCGCCCCCGGTGCCGCCCCCCCGTGACCCCGCGTCCCCCCCCCCGGCCCCGCGGTGACGTCACGCACGTACCCCCGTGGCGTCAGCGGCGTGACGTAGTCGCCCCTCTCTCCTTCAGCCAATCAGCGCCCAGCAGCCGAAGCGCTGCGGTGTACCGGTGGGGAGGGGGAGGGGAGGAGAACGGCCCCGCCGCCGCCGCTCCCGGCCCCGCCGCTGCCGGCCCCAGCCCCGCTGCCGGTCCCGGCTCCCGGTCCCCGCGCTGCAGGAAGCGGCTCCGGCCCGGGCCCCTCGCCGTGTGCGCACCGCGCATGCGCCGCCCCGCGCCGCCGCCCAATCAGCGACGGGCACCGCGGGGCCTGCCGGGAAACGCCGGCAAGAAGCGGCAGCCGCGGCGGGCAGCCCCGCGGACTACAACTCCCAGCGTGCCCCGCGCGGGGCCTCTCCGCGGCCTTCCCAGGACTACAACTCCCGGCGTGCCCCGCGCCCTCCCCCTCAGCAGCCCTCACAGAGGGCTGGGGCCCGGCCGAGCCTTCAACCTCGCCCCCCCACGGCCCTTACCCGCCTCACGGGGCCGCTTTCCCTGCGTATTTATATTTTTTTTATATAAAAATACAGAGATTTGGGTTCTTTGCCTGAAGTAAATGTACATGATGTGACTGGGGTAAAGCCCGAAGTGAGGCGCAGTCAGCACCACACAGCCCTTAAACCACCCCCCCCCACCCCAGGTCGGAAAAAAATAAAGAAAATGCAGAACTCAGAGCATGTTCTCACAGGAAAAAAAAAAAAAAAGCTTTCAAGTAACGATGAGGGTGGGTTTCAGCACTTGAACAGTTCTGTGACTCCAATCAGTAGCAATGCAAACAAAGCCCGCCCCCAGGTACCAGCTCCCCTGGAGCTCTTCTCGTGGGTGCCACCAGCGGTTCTTCAGGAACACAAAAATCTAGGCTGAGGGAAGACTCCTTCCCCCAGAAAACTCTTCCCAGGAGGGGGAGAAGGTCATCCCGCTTCTTCGTCCATTTACAGCACGTCTCAGGGGAACTCAGCTCTGTCCAGTCAAGGAGGGTCGCAGAAAGGCCAGGGCCAAACTTTGCTCTTGGCAAATTAGAGTCTTTAATAAGAGTAATATGTGCAAAAAATTAAATAGATCAACCCAGGTTTCCAGAATTATTGTTGTCAGAATGCTTACTTTCTATTTGTGTTCTTACCCAACCCAATGCTGAAATCTCAATTAAGTACCCGAGGTAAGAAGTGACATTTGGGAGAGATCACCACAAAGAAAAAACCCCGAGAGGTGCAATCTGTTACCTCAGTGTTCTTCCTCCACCCAGATGCCTGCATTAAAGACACATATGCAGCAGCAAAAAGAAAAAATGTGCAAGATATCCCCTCCTTTCCGTGAGGACAAAGCACTGTTTCTAGTTGTTTGAAGGAAGAATTGTTTCCTAACAGGTGGAGTGGGTGTTCAGCCTTCCATTTGCAAGGAGGAATGGGACAATCAGCTGCTCCCAGTTGCTTTCTGGCAAGTTTGTGGTGGTGTTTTTGTTTTTTTTCCCCCCTGGGCACATTATAGCTGGAAACCTTCCATGGGGGCTTCAGCTTGCTGGAAGATGAATTGCTGCTGGTTCTCATCTACCTGGGGAGCTAGGGTGGAGTCATCCTCTACTCCAAAATAGTGCTCAATCAAGTCAAAGGCCTTCTGGTAGATCTCTTGGTTCTCATGGCTCTGCAGGAACTCTATCTTATCCAAGCCTTAGAGAAGAAAAAGTGAAATGCAATGAAACAAGGAGATCCTGTTGTTCAGTGTCCCAAATCCATCCTCCACCCTTCCCCCTATTCACTGCAAGACCCTTGTCTGTGTTGGATTGGCATTTTGTGAGCAGCACTAACAGCTAAAGCTAACTAACAGCTAAAACTACCCGTTTCTCCAGAGTTGCTTGTGGATTTAATCTGTATCGGAAAGCATTAATGCCTTTCCAATTGTAGGTTTAGCTGATACAGCTAAAGCAGAGAGCTTTACCAGCTCTCCAGCAGAGAGCTGCGAGCACAAAACCAATCATCAGTGAAATTAATATCACAGTCTGTGAAAAGTTTGGCAGTTGCAGGGGGAAGGAGGTAGGGCCTGTCCCAGTAATCTCCAGCAGAAGGGCAGCAACAGCTTTAGCTGTCCTAATTAAATCCACTGCTGAACAGGAAGCATCCAAGCATTACATATTCAAGAATTTCAAGAATTATTCTTACTGGGACACACGATGTAACAGTGAGAGGGCAAAAAAGACGCTGGCAGTATACAGGACATTTCAGACCAAAATAGGAACTGTTCCTCAAAGCATTATGAACAGGACAAGAAACACCAAATTAGGCCTCTCCAGGGAAAAGCTAAGTCTCTCTGGATTTCCATCATACAACTGCAGCAAAAAGAGTCACGGACTTCTTACTTAGCTCAGCTTATTTTGATTAATATTCCCAACAGCACGAGCTACAATTATCTGGGTTTCTTAGAGCTGGATGCCAACCGGATAAGTATGATAGCTTTTGCTTCCAAGTGCTTTGTCTTACGCTGTATCCTAAGACTCTCAAAAAAGACAGCGTGATCTATTATTGGAGCAAATACTGACTAATTTAGAATATACCAAATCCCTTCACTAGTCAGAAAAGCAATCAAAACCCACCTAGCATCAGACCTTTCACTAAAATCTATTGTTTTCAAAGACCACCAGCCACAACCTACCATACGCCTCTTCAATCAAGCTACAGTAAGGGTTGATGCCTGTCCCGCTCTGGTTGGCTTCTTGCTCCCCAAGCCTCAGTATGTTCTCCAGGCCGTTCAGCGCCACCTGAACAATCTTGGAGTCCATGACAGTCAGCAGGTCACAAAGAGGCTTGATGCAACCCAAGTTTACCAGGTATCTAAAGAGAGCACCAAGAACACGCATTCACCTTTCAGGATAGCTAGCATCCCCTTTGCTCCATTATAAAGAACAGGAGAAGTGAGTCAAACTAAAATATATTGCTTTATTATGTAAGATTTCTATTTTGCAAGGCTAATTTTTAGCTACTTATCTGCATTTGTATACAACCCCTCCCCTTTTTTTTTTAATATAATAATTTTCTTGAAATGCAGGTACTATTCAAATTAGATCCACACTGGATTTTAATCGGTCACCAAGTTTGGACATTTAGCCTAGTCTAAGCTATATAAACAGGACGGGAGGGAGTAGTTTGGACTGGCTTATCCTCAATTCAGAATGAAACTACAGTTTCACAGCATGTGACCTGTATAGCTTGGCCTGTGTCTCAGGTACTCTCTCCCTGAGGTTCTCCAAATTAGTCCCTTGTTACTTATTCTTGCAGTTCCCATAAAGACAAAGCTACCATACATTCAGACAGATCTCCCTTAAGAGGAGCCCCAGGGAGTACCTGATCTGTTCAGGAGTTCCTCCTGACGTTGCATTTGTAATTGCCCATGCTGCCTCTTTCCTCGTACGGAATTCTGCTTTCTGCAAGATTTCTATCAGTACCGGGAAAATGTTTGCATCTATGACTGCCTGGGGAGAGAATAGTAAGAAGTGTTTGAATTGACAACATGGTTTCTAGAAAGGCTATTAAGAAACCTGAACAAAATCTCTACTTCCATTTTCCAATTCAGAAAGATCTTTTCAAGCTATTCCCTTCAGTGATTCCTTCATTTCATTCTTCAGCCAGATCCTAGTAATGCAAGATACTCAATTCTGTATCCAGCACAGTGATCTTTATTATTACATCAATACTGTAGGAATGCTTTCATCATTTATCTGCCTTTGTACATAGGTCATTGAAAGGATAATTAAAATTCAACAACCTACAAATTTTCAAAGGAGTATTTCTAATTGCATATAGAGAAACTGGGGCTCTCTCTCTCATTATTCCAATGATCCAATCTGTGGGACTCATTTCAGCCCAGTCTTTGTAGGTACAATTAGCTTTTTTTTTTTTTTAAGCTTTTGTGTGGCAGATGGCTACGTGCAGAAGTCTGCGAATAACTTCCAAATAAAGGATATGGAAAAAACAGCCTCCATGTATCAGATATGAAAAAATGCAAGTTCTTCATGCTGAGCTTGGAATCTAGGATTTTTACAGATGGGCTAAGTGACTCGATGCTGTACCTGTATTTGTGCTCTGTTTCCTGCTGTGATGTTAGATATAGTCCAGCAGGCTTCTTTCCTGATTGACTCCTTGGGACTACTTAATAAGTGAAGAAGACACGGCAAGGCTGAACAGTTCAGAATCACCTTTAGAGAAAGAAAGCAGTAGTTGGATCACCAGTATCAGGCAGAAAGTTAAATGATTTCCATTTTCACACAGGGAATATGCTGTATGGGCACTCCCTGACCTTTTAGGGAAGGGGGGAGCAATGGCACTTCTACATTATGTAGTAAAGAAAGGTATTCCACTCCACCTCCCATATATCCCCAAAACAGAGTTTTTGAAATTGCACCAAAAATACACTTTCCAGAGTAGCAAAAAAAAAAAAAAAAAAAAAAAAAAACAAGAGAAAAGCAAGTGGTACACCTTGATCCTAGGAAAATTTGCTGCAGACAAATATTATGAAGAGTTGTACTCCTCTTCAGCTGCATCTGTAAAACATTCCTATCCCCCTCACCTGGGTCTGGATGTCGTCTCCTGTCACGATGTTGCCAACCGCTCGCAAAGCTGGGGAGGCCACTTTGTAGTCATTGTGCCTGCAGGGAAGATGGTGCAAGGACAACAAATAGATCACTGCACCCGGATATTTAGGAAATCTTCTCTCCAGTCTCCCATCTGCATTACTTAGTATTCCATTCCCTAGCATACAGTCTCAGTCCAAACCTGTGTTTAATAAGTTCTTAGTGCACAGCATTAACCAGCACTCCAGCACTAGAAAATGCTCTGCCTCTCTCAGAAAGAGGAGGCCAATAACCTACAGCTCCCACCCTGCTGCAGACCCTCTTTTGTAACTGCCCCAGCAGAGCTGGTTAAGGCAGTGCCTGGATCCTGCCCCCACAAGGTGGGGAGAGCTCTGATGATTTGGGAGTGAACTGCTGCCCAGTCCCACTGGGCTGGAGCAGTGAGACAAGATACTTACATTAACAGCTCCACCAGTCGCCGACACACCCCCGAGTCAATAACTGCTTGAATTTTCTCATTGGGGCCATCTGATAAATAGGAAAGAGCCCAGCATGCATCTGCCAGCAAGTCAGAGTCACTGTTGAATAATAGTCGGGACAACACTGGCAGGCAGGGAGATACCTACAACAACAGCCACCACCCCGCATTAGTCACAGCCTGTCAAGGACCACCAC